GGATTCAGTGTAGCTAGACAGATGCAACTGATGATGAAGTCGATTCATTAGATTTTCTTGCTAGAAGTAAATCTTTACTAAATGGAGGTCAGTGACAGAGCACCTATTGCCATCAGCAGAGACAGGATTTTGCTCTTTATATCTTCCTCTGTGAAGGAGCACATTTGTGCATAAGCACAGATCTGTTTCACTTTAGCTGGTGATGGTTTTCTTCTTTTTTCCTGTTTTACCTTTGCAGTTTTCTGAGGTCAGGACTAGAAGCCACTGACATGTTTAAGCATGAATCACTGTGTGAGATTTATTTTCCATTGTCAAAATGCAGTGTGCTGAACAGTCATTACCTTGAATAGGTATAAACCACATCTGGCATCTTCTGGACTCCAGCTTCTAACTGCAGGGAGGGATCTCACTACTGACTTAGGAGAGTAAATTGCAGAAATTGAAATGGCAGCACCATCCCTGATGGTTTAGTTTAGTTATAGAAAAGTAAATGTAGATGAAAAGGTGCAACAGTTCTTTTGAATGTGAGAATTGACATATAAGATGAAGCCAACAAGAAATCTGTTACATTTTCTGTGAGCATTCAGGTAAGAACATCAAGGAATGGTATAAAAATTTCAGGTCATGAATAGCTTTGGAGTAATTTCTCCTTTGAGAGAACGTTACTGTTACATTCCACATAAAGTTGCAAAGGTTGTACTCCAAGACTAGCATTAGATTAAAAACTCAGCAATAATCAGTCAGGCTGAAAAATATTCAGACATGTCTCTACAAAGATTTCTTGTGCAGCTTCTGCTGAAGATTATGGGAGTTCTACAAATAAAGGGTGTGCAGGGTGGACTCCCTGTTATTTTCTTTTCAGTTTTTTCCCCTCCTATGTCAAGAACACTAAAAAAGTGCCTCTGGTCTCATTTATAATTTTAAACAAAATCAGGTTGTCCATCATTATGCTGTTGCAAACATAAACCTCGGGGTTTGTATGAATAAACCCCCACTAGGCAAACACCATCTGCCTGTTGAAGGAAGAGAGAAGTCAGCACTGAGACAATGTCTACTCATTAGGAGTTGAGAAGCATCAAGTCTGCTAGGTAGCAATGTCTTCAGAACTCCACATGCAGTGCAGTTGTCTATTGAAGTGCTTCCTTTGATATTAAGGTCATTTCCCCATACTAAATTGAAGTGGTTTTAAACAAAGAGCTTTTCTCCAGAGCCAAATTCAGATCAGGTGCCACTGCATGAAATTTTACTGATTTCCTTGAAACAGTATCTTACAGCTAAGAACGCAGGAATTCAGATTGTAATAGAGCAACATAAGTAAAAGTGGCATGTCAGCTCATCCTTACAGGAATAACGAGTAGTGTTTACTGCTGTAAAGTGTTATTTTTCCACACTATTGATAGGAACTTAGAAAAATCTGTGACTTTCTTCCCCAGGCATTTAAATTTCAGGAATTTCTGAAAGATAGATTAAAATTTCATGAAGCAGATAAAACCAAATGACCAGCACCCAAGAGAGCTGAGTTAGCTGCTTTAAAGGACATGTAAAAGTATGTCTCTTTTGCAAAAAGAACTGCTTGCAAGCAGACAGTGCAGTCATTTCACTGGTTATGAAAGGTGGGTATTTCCACTTGACTGGTGTTGGATTTGTCATTGGAAAGTCATTGCCTAGGGAGGGGTGGGCAGCAGTAGATTCCTACAGAAGAGCTGTCCAGCGCTAGTGGTGGTACCTTCTGTTTTCCCCAGCATCTTCCAAGTGAGAAGCACCACGCTGAGCTGCCTTGGGTACCTCTGTCAGATCTTAGGTATAATTGAGGTGTGTATGATTTTGAGTCACATCACAAAAGTAGAACCTTTCTTTAAGCACTGGTTGTGCAACATCTGTAAAGCAATTTCTATTTGACAGCACTGATCATCATCTGAGGAGTGCGGTGGGTGTGCAGCTACCCACTCTTAACCAGGTGCTCAGGTGGATTTACAGCCTTTGTGATTTTATGGTAGTGTGCGTCCGTGAAAGAACAACAATCTGTGTTAGCAAAACATGATGTTGTTATAGGTGGATATCTCTGATTCATAGTGCTGGAGCAAATGAATGCTTTAGTAAAGCCCCATTATTAGGTGTCAGCGTGACCGTACACTCATCTTGAGTCTTCTGAGCCAGCATTTCCAGCAGAAACTAAGATGTCTGTATTTGGCCATTAAAACTGAGAGCAAAATTGCAAAGGACTACACAGAAGTAAGAAATCAAAGCATGCAGTGATATGTGCAGTTATGATTTCCAGAGATGTCCATGGCAACTAGAAGTCATAACTTCATGGCACAGCAAAAATCTCAATAGGTATCTCAAAAGAAATACTGGCTTTATGGCAAATTGTAGTTCCTCTCCCCTCTCCTCACCTACTTTTTTCATATTCCACAGGCTATAAATTACTGATCTCTTTCTTTCCATTAGCAGATAAGCACCTTATCACCTTTCCTCTTTTCTAACATCCTTATCACTCCACAGGCAGTATCTTTACTGTCAGGTCTAACTGATACATATCTAATTAAAGGCAAAGCATGTTTTCTCAGCTTGCATTCAGCTTTGAAGTACGTTGCTTTGATTTCAGACCTGAAGAACAGCTTTATGGGCCTGAAAGTTATCCTTTTCTCAACTGTACTAGTTGATCAAATAAAATACGTTACCTTTTGTCCACAAACTTTGCCTGTGTACCAATGCATTCATTTATTGTTAGGCAAAAAGAGACGATGAATTCTCATGGAACTAGTTAAAAGGTGTGTGTGAGGACTTGTGCTCTTCAGAGCCTCAAAGTCTAAGACAAAATACTCAAATATGATGAGATGGAGAAGTAAAGGATTCAGTAGAGACTAAGGTAGATAACTGGATTAGCAAGAAAAAGAGTTTTAGGATTTATCACTTAACTGAGGGCATTTTGTGTGAAAGAGGTACCAGGGATGAGAAAGCTGAATATGTAGACAGGAGATTGTGCCAGCAGCAAATTGTTTAAATAGCATTATTCCACTTACCATTTTACTGAATATCTTAGGAACGTTTCTGGTAGTGAAAGAGTAGATTCTCCAAAGTTACATGGGATATAAAGAGAAAGAATGATCATTCTAATTAAAAAAAAAAAAAATCAATTCTCTCTCATGAGAAGAAAGCAGAGGAAGAAACACTCTGAGCATAAGTAACACTGAAATTTCCAGGCACTTCCAATGTGCGTAGATGTAGAGATTTACTGGTCTTTTGCAAATGTTACAGGGGTCACACAATTAATTGGCCTGACCCAAATGACATTTGACAGCTTTAGGACAACTGTATCTTTCCTCATTTTCCCCTCTAGTCCTCTTTTTCACTAGTTCAAACAAGTTTTCAGAGTGGGTTTTGTTCTTCACTGTGAGGAGATGTTGGAGGAAAAATAATGCAAAGAAACCCGCTGAAATTACCTTATTAGATAAGAGGAAAAGAAAATAGATCCAAGCTACATCACCCTTCCCCTAGAGCAACCTTTTGCCCTTAAAGAACCTTTATATAAACTTGAGGCATTCTTAGTACTTTGGAATTGTCAGCTGAAAGAGACTTTTTTGATGCAAATCATTTGCTTCTCTGTCCCAGTGTGTGGCTGGTGAGGAAGGAGGTGTCCATTCAGTGCTAGGAGAAGGGAAATCCCTGTCCAGGTAGAATGGTCCTTGTTGTGGCCTGCCTGCAGCAGGGGAATGAAATGGGAGTTATGTGGAATTCCAGAACTTCGGTAGGGAGCCCATCCTTATCATTTTGTTTAGTCAAACTGCCTTGTTGGCAGTTGTTAATAAGGTCTGTATGGTTTGGGGGTCTTTTCCCAGCTAATTGCTCTTTTGATTTGAGCTTTTTGGGCTTTTTAAAGTACGTGATAGGATTGCTGTTTACAACATGGAATAACCACAAGAATCTCCTCATTTTCTGAGGTCAGACTGTTACTATGCTTTTGTTTGCTTATGCTGAGCTAGTACTTGGCAGCTTGAGCAGTAGCTCAGCCATTTTCTAGATTAACAGGTTGCTCTTTGTATTTGATGTGATTGATGTGATTGAAGTGATCAGCATACATATACAATACATATACGCGGAAATAAATTACTCTGGGAGAGAGAAAGATCCAAATGGAGAGATTAGATAGGTCCAAGGGCAGTTGTAAGAACTGTGGTACATTCAAGAATGTAGAAGGGACTTAAGCACTAAATATCTGACAAGAACATGTATGGGAAAGGTACAGTTTTACTCTGAAATCTTTGCTAATAAAGGTTCAAGGATGTACTTTTTGTATATTTCTCTGAAGCCCAAAGCCCTGCTGTAGATGCAGATATACTGAGAGAAAAATCAATAGCCCATATAAGTTTATTTTCTTAGGATAGCAGCATTCGGTCAACTCTCGTAGGGTTTGGCTTCCTGAGTAACTGGAGAGTCTATAGAAAAAGGATCATTTAAGTGCTTAAATTAATCTTAATAATATTGCCAAATCACTCATCTCCAACTTCTTTTTCTAACAGCCTGGAGTCTATGTGGTTTTTTTTCTAGCACTCCTGTTTCTGTGAACTAGCAGTAGTTATCACATATCTTTTTACAGGGCTTCATTATTTAGCATCCTGTTGGCATGACAGGAGAATCCCGTGTCCCACAGACCTATTAGAGTTTACCCACTGGTTAAAATCCGCTGACATGTCGGCACGTGGAAGCAGCAGATGAATTTATTCTTAACTTATATACTTACAAATGCAGTCTAAAATAAAGGACTGTCCTGACTCTTTACGTCTGTATATACATGGGGTTTGTTATTTTTTCCAAGTGACACCTTGAACTTAATAAGCCAATGGGGGGACTCCTATATAGGTCTAAATGGAGCTGCAAAATACTGGATTTTGCCCTTGAGCTTTTATTTGCACATACCGCTGTGTCATTGTATGACATTGGCTTTTGAATACACGTCTATTACATAAAGCCAATACATTGTTCTTGTTTTTGATTTACAGTACAGAATTGGCCAGCTGTACATGATAAGCAAGCATAGCCATGAGCAGAGCGACCGAGGTGAAGGTGTGGAAGTGGTGCACAATGAACCCTATGAAGATCCAAACCATGGCAATGGTCAGCTAACAGAAAAACGTGTCTATCTCAACAGGCAAGTGCAATAAAGCTGTTTCTCTTGGCATGAGCTGTAATAAAAATTAGCAAGGGATACCCCTTCCAGGCAACAGCCTTCCTGTTTCTTTTACACTTAACTGTCTGTCATTTTGTTTCCCAAAACTGGGGGAAAAAACCTGAAACCAAAACCAATGAACACCCTACCCCTCAAAAAAACCGCAACGAAACCCAGCCATTAAAATGGTTTAAGGGTTTCTATCCTTACAGTAATGTCACAAAGTCAGTATCCCATTTTTTTGGTGACAAGAGATTTGCCTCAGCAGAGTTATTTGAGCTCATGAATGACCATTAGGCCGGTACGATGACAGTCTTCTGTGCCAAAATAATAGGGTTGAAGACATGATGGAAGAAAGCACTTTTGTTTCCCCAGAGTTCCATCATTTCTTAAAATGAAATGTGTCTCTTCCTATGGTGAAATTATACTGCTGAGTTATACTGCTGAGGATCAATGCCACACTCACAGGCCAGAGATTTTTTATTTTCACATATATATGAAAATATATATATATATTTGTGTCCTATGAAATATATTGCTCAATCTGTTCCTGGTTGTGCTACTGCTGATCAAATTGAATATCTCTGCTTTTCTGAAGTTCTTCTTTCCCTCTGGGCCTGTTTTGTTTTATTAAACTTATGCTCAGCAGCATTTCATAGTGAGCAGGGAAACACTACAGCTATTGCTTCTGTATTATAAGTTACTTCTCCACTGCAAACCTGACATATCTAACAGGCTAGACTGAATCACCAGTAATGTTGTATGCACACACACATGTCCAGTAATGAGCATCTTGCCAACATTTAATCTGTTCTCTCACAGGCTAGATAAAGGACTTGGGAAAAATCAATCAATGTGTTCGTGTTGTAGAGCTCACAGAAATTGTAGGAGTTTTTGGATGTTTCTGGATATTTCTTTCTTTCATGTTAGAGAGCAGGGTTTAAGCACTGAAGAGCATGGTCAGAATTACACTTTGAGGTAATTCACAATAACTGGAGGACTGTGTCCTAGAAGGCATGTACAGGACGTGCTGAGGAAGCCTGAAGTTTCTGGCAGGCAGTGGAACAAAGGATCTCTTACCCAAAGACAGGTACCAACACTGACACCGATCTGTGTGGCTACAACAGCTTAGGAAGTTTACCTAAAACTGTGGTGGATGTTTGAAGTCAGGCTCCCTGGGTTTCATGATGATTATGAATACTCCTTGACACCACCAGATATTGCAGTACTGTTAAAGCTTTGTAGGAAGGATCAGCAGGTTTCCAGGCAACTATGGATTTTGCTGGGAAACCAGGATCTCTCTGGAAGACTTCACTCAAGAAGACATGCTGCCATACAAGATGTGCTGAAAACTTCTCTGCCTGTCTTCCTTGAGCAACAGGACTCCCTAGAGCAGCACTGTTCTCTCCCTTATTCTTCTTCTTCCAGGGGCCACTGCTGTAATAAACTTGCTAGCATTGCGTCGCTTTATTTTGCTCTGAATTGATCTATCCTGGAGAAATTTGAGTTTATATATTTCAGTGATGGTTTTTGGAAGAATTTGTGCATGATTTTAACTTATCTTTTCTTGCCTGCTAATGCTTCAATTTTTGCAGAGGGGCTTCTTGTTCAGCACTTCCTCTCTATATGCTGAAAGACTGAATTTCATCTGGGAAGGAGGATATAATAATAATAATAAAAGATAATGTGATCCACAGATACTGGTGCTGCTAAAATAGAAGTATTATGTTTTCTTTCTCTGAGTGAGCTCTTGGAACAATTTGTGTGTATCTTGTGGCTGTGACTTCCTGGCAACTCTGAGTATAACGTGTGTTTTGCTCATAAAATTATTTGTTTTGGAGATGTGCTGTACCGGTGAAGATAGGTAGACAGGCAAATACAGTAAAAACAATAACCAAAGAAAGTGCCAAATGAGCAGCTGTATGTTAACAAAGACATTGCCAGTGAAATTTTCTAGTGTCAGTGTGAGCTGGAGTTATATTTAGAATTGTTTACTGCCTCTTCTCTCTGCTGGAGCATTGTTTTCAGAAGCTGAAAGTCTGCATCCTCTGGTATTTATTACTGAGGCATCAGAGTGAAGTGTAGCAGGGGCAAGGGAGGCAGCAGAGTCAGAAAGAGACACTTGACAGGCTGACAACCTAAATAAAAGAAGTGATACAGTGAAGTCTATTATGCAGTATGTAAAATGCTGCTTGGGAGACTCTACACAAGAAAGGCTTATATAAAGGAAAGAATCTGGTTTTGAGCAGTGTCGTCAAAGAGCAAAAGTCAATGCACTTGACTTTGAATCTTTAGATAATGTACTAACGTCTGCATTTTGCCTCTGGAATAAATGAAATATTTATGTGTAGCTAAATCATGGTTAAATAAACCTCAACGATCCAAACTCTATTTTCTGAGAAATTTGCTAATAGGGAAAGTTAACGTACTTCCTGTGCACAGTTATCTGAACAACTGTTTCAAACATTGATGCTTGAAAATCGCAGTGTGGAGGCATTTACTTTAGTTCAGTGAAGATTCAGTCTTAGGCTGACACATCACCAGACTAACAGGGGTTTAATCTGAAATACAGTGATAATTGTGGTCTCCAAAGCTCTGCCTTCCTCTGGGGGACTGCTTCTGCGTCTCTTTTCCTGGCAGCTTCAGTGATTATAATTGGTGTCATTAGGAAGTGTTGAAAGATGAATTATCATGAACTTGCCTTCTTAAAACATGTGTATGTTCATCATTTCTTTTGTACTCTGTGACCAGAGTTCTGGAAATGAGAGATCAGATATCTATGGTAAAGCAAATGCTCCTCCTCTTCCATGTTATTATTTAATTCTCTTTAATGATCTCTGCATGTGCTGTATCAATGTCTTTCATTTCTTATTCTACTGTTGTTGTACCACAGCACTGGCAAGTTCTCCTGTCAGATTGAGCTCTGAGCTATGAAATCAGTTCCATTAATTCTCTTCACTTTTGTGATTTGCTTTTCCCATCAGCAAAATGGGACTAAACCTACTAGCCTCAAAGGGGGGTGGGGGGTTGAGTGACTTCTTAATTTTGATGCAAAAGCTTCCTACTCAGAGTTGGTGTTGGTAATGTGGGAAGAACTGCATGCTAGGTGAGATGAACGTAAGGGTTTGTGTGCCGGCAGAGAATATGGAGGAAGAAGAAAGAGTCTCGAAGAAGAAATAATGGAATCGGGATTGAAGTGGATTACAATCCCATGTTTACTCATGACCTCTTGTTAGAGAGTGCCTCCCTGTGGTTAGGGATGCTGTGACGCAGTTACACCTTGTATGGGCAAACCTGCTGAGTTCATCCATGACCAAAGGGCTGAAGCCACAGATTCTTGGCATCTGCACATGTAAAGTTTAATGTGATCAGAGATTATTGCTCTGGCACCGTGTCACTCACTTTGAGAGGGGAACAGACTGAGTTTCATATGTGCATGTGGGGAAAGCTGACACAGAATGCACAGTCATGAGATGAAAATCCTGAGAAGTCTCAGTATTGCTGTGTCCTGTGAAACACCTCTCCAACATGAGCATATTTGCACCTATCTGCTTTGCTGCAGGACTCATAACTCATCACATTCTCTAATTTTCTGTTTTCTTTCTATTTTCAGCAAACTGCCTAGCTGGGCTAGAGCCGTTGTTCCCAAAATATTTTATGTTACAGAGAAAGCTTGGAATTATTATCCTTATACAATCACAGGTAAGGACTAAAGAAGTGATTACTGACTTGTGCTTTAGCTCATCTGCAGAAGCTCCAAGTTCCATATTGAGCCACAGGTATTAAGTTTCTTTAATAATTCCTGTTGAAGTGTGTATAATTTTTCCATTTTATATTGACTGATACCCGGAAATAAAGATCATAGAATATGGGTAGATAAAAACTGGAGTGTTGTATCTGTGCCGTTTCTTCCTGGAAAAGAAAACCCCAGAGGCTTTTTTAATATTAATGTCTGTTGACTGTAGGGATCATGTATCATTGTTTATATCATAGTTTTCATATTTCTTTTTTTTCTTCCCCCTCATCATGCTTTTATTTACAACTGGACAATTGGGAACCAGAATACACAGTAAGTTCTTCTTCCTCTTTTTGTTCTAAAAATAGAGTGAAATGTAAGAGTAGAATCCAAGCCGATCCCATCTTATTGTAAGGAATGCATAATGCAACTTCATTTTAGCTATTTGCTTAAGAAATTTAAGGTTCAATTTGAAGTGTTGCTGTAGGATTATTTACCTTTAGGGGTTTCATCACTTTAATTTGAGATATTTTTAGTGACTGTCTGTACTAAAGAGAAGCTTCTATAAAACAGGGCAAGGCTTTTAAGGTTCCAGTTATTACGTGGAGGCATAAGAACAGATTTTATTTTATTTATTGTTTCATTAACTTATAAAATGCTCATCTCTGGTATAGTATCTGGGAAACTGTACAATCTGTAGACAAAATTAAACATAATCTGGGCACAATGCCCAGAAGAATCAGCTATTCCCTCTAGCAGAGCTAAAGCAAAATATAGCAATTAAATCATGAGAAAAATTGTTTTAAATGTGCTGGCCTCAATAATACACAGTAGGTTTGCAGCAACTTTTGGAAGACGAGGAAGTTCCAGGTAAAGAGACCTGTCAGAAACTCCTGCCTTGGTTCTTAACTCTGCAATGCTCAAACTGTTGTGGAGCACGCACGGGGAAAAAGGTTTTAATGTGATGAATGAGAAAAAAATAGAGATTTAAATGCTCAGAACTGAAAGCTGGAGGCTTTTCAATGTGCACTGTAGATACTGATTACATATTCTGCTTTGTTTAAATTTCATTTGATTGTCAAAGGAAACCCAACTGTCCCATAATGGGCAGTAGTAATGAGGGGACAGATTCTCTGTCAGAAGATATCTTCAGTAGGGCCTATCAGAGTTTACATTCATTAAGGGTTTACCCTTTGATAGCAGGTTTAATCTTAGGCTGGGAAGATGACACGTGCTCTGTTGGGTCGATGGCTTTTACTTCTGCTCTGTTGCATAATTTTTCTTTAACTGAAAGTCAGAATTTTGATGTGATTTTTTTTCTTCAACTGGAAGAGACAAGTCAGAATGATTAACGGGGTGGCAGCAGACAGACAGAAATGTCTGGATTTGACATGCAATACATTATCAAAAGCAAACAGCAGTGCTGCACTGATAGGATTTGAATCAGGAGGTGATCTTTATTTAATCTGAGGAAACAACACCTGGAACACGATTTGGTGAAGGCCTGTGCAAGGGGTACGGCTACAGAGATTGCAGGGGTGAAGAGACTTGTAAAGAAAAAATGGGTCTACAGATGTAGAAGGTAGGCAAAACAGTCACTGACAGTATAACTGCCTGTGGGAGCTGGGGACTAATTACTCACCATGGTGCAAGGAAACACAACTAGAAACACTGGGTTGAGATTAGGGAAACTACTTCAGACAGAAAGCTAAAATGTATTTTAATGGAGCTGATAGACTATGAAATTATGTTAAAGGGAAATAGAGAAAGTGCCTTTGCCTCAAACTGTTTAATCTAGGACAGAAATGTTAAAGACACCACTGGGAATAAATCCTGTCCTTATCCTTATCTGGAATATTTCGCTAAATTTTGATCTTCTGTATTCATTAGAGAATTCTGGGAGAAAGAGTAAACCCACAGGCATTGCCCAAAATACGTAAGGTAGCTTGGAAACCCTCTTCTTAAAGACAGTAAAATCCCTTCAAAGGGTCTGTGAGACATTCTAAGCATTAAATTGAGCCTGATTTCAAGGAAAACTCATTCTAAAGGGAGGCCAATAATTGGATAAATAAAGCATAATCTTATCAAGTACATACTGCTATGTAGTATGTTCATGCTTTAGTTAACCTCCTGAATTCCACTCTAAGCAAAGAGCAAGGACTTAAAGGCTCAGTAGTGTTGTTTCAGTGTCTGTTGGTGAACAACAGGCTGAATCTTACTTATAGTCTTCAGGTTTTTCAGTTATAAAATATGAAGGCTTTTGGGAAATTGCATTCGAGCACATCCACTAACATGGAGAGATTCAATGCAGAATAATAATATCATCACTCTGGTTTTCCTGTGAAATATTATGTATTTCATAAATATGATCTTCTTAAGGACATGAAGTTAGGACATCTTTGAAGAAAAAAGGCTCAGCAGGCATAGAAAATAATTTCCTGAATATTGCTCCGTGCAATGGTTGTATAAAAAGCCAAGAGTGACTAGCTGCATGAAAACAGGGATGGAAATTAGATTGTCCTGAGGTTAGTACTGGGTCCAGTTATGATGGTATCTGCTTTAAGGAATGGTAGTTGATACACAGCAAACAGCAGGTCAACTACCAACTCTCAGCAACCATATTAATTTATAAAGCAAATAACACACTTAAGATAATGAGTTTAAGAGAACTATTGCACAAATGACGCTTTTGTGGTAATAATGTGAAATACTGTAATGTCAGGAGAGCATTTTCAAGTGTACGCTACAGTGGTTGTGGAGGAGGGCCTCATTAAAACGGCAGTACAAAAGACTTCCTGTCAGGAGGAAGAGACGTGGGTGATGTCTTCCTGCTGACATTGAAAGGGAGGAGGAAGTAGAAAAAAATACTTCCAAAGTTGATGCCAAAGGAAGTAATCCACATCCGGGGGTATTATTTAAAGAACAGGGTACTTCTATCAAGTTCCAACCCTTGGTTTAAGGGCTGGGGCATTACTGAAGAACTGTGTGTGAGCAAGTCTCTTAACAAGAGTTGCTTTGGTTTTGATCTTGTAATCAGAAACCTGACAAGATATCATGCTAAAATAATTGCTTCTTTTTATTTATCAGTTCATTTAATATAGTGATTAGATTGATGTTAAGCTCTTAAATTTGGGATACTGTATCTGAGATACAGCTGAAAGTCAGTCTATATAGACCTAATTCTTAGGGATTCTGCTCTGTGAGTGATTACAGGACGTGGGTGCTGGTGAGTGACTCCTGTCAAGCTACACATGCAATTGGGAAATGGGTGTTGCTAGCTACTAGCTTTTAGTTGCTAGCTACTAGCTTTTGGAAAGCATTCCTCTGCTAGTCACAGGCTGAAGCCTTTCTCACTTGGAGGATGGAGGAAAGCAGCTCTCAACAGCCCTTATGTGCCCACTTATCACTGCATTTGCAAATACATCTTCTTAGTGTATAATATTTATGCTATTCTTAGCTAATGTGGACAAGAATGAGTGAACTTTCAGGAGGCTTTCTTGTTTTTCTTTCTTTGTCCAGCTGGATTAGGAATAATTAACTAGAAAGCAAACCTGTTGTATTGCAAACCAAACAGAAAAAGGATTGCATAGAACTTTCTTTACCTGTCTCAGGTTATTGTTAGACAATAAGCATCCCAGAGCAAATATCTATTTGACCTCTTCAAGTGACAGCTAAAATTCTGGGCAAAAAGAGAGGAGCCTCAAGCAAGCAAATAATCAGATCACAAATGTATGGGGACAAAACTATGGTACAAAAAAAACATGATCCAAGTACACCGAAGATGAGCCTAACGAAGTTCAGCTATTGAATTGGAGTACAGAGAGGTTAGGAGAAATCTAAAGAGAATGGAAACAAACTCTACTGAGTTTGAAGGTGCAGTTGAGGTGTTTACCAGGGATAATTTCAGATTGTTTTGCTGTCGGATCCAAACAGCTTCAGTGTTGTAACAGTATTTCAATTCTGGGGTTGAAATTTAAAAGCTGGATAATGTTTTGTTATGGATCATTTATGGCCAATTGTTAGTTCCACAATTATAAGTATATAAAGCAAAATAAACACCAGAACTGATGTGTTTTACTCTCTGCAAGAAGGAAAAGCATTCTTTCAACCTGCTGATGTCTCCAATTAACTTAGGAATAGGACATAAATTCAGAATATTTATGAAAAACAGTTATGGAACACAAAGCAGGAGATAATGATTCCTTTAATGATGTCTCCCAGTGACAGTAATTCTTCTACAGCAAATGACTGAGGCAAATAAAATGATTTCATCTGGTATGTGTCAAGGCCCCAAAGTGATAGTTGGTAAATGTTGGTTACTGACCTGCTGGTTCCTGATTACTTTTGAGAACAAGCATGTTTTATACTTCACTTCGTTGCCAGTTTATCCATGAACTAAATTATCTGGAAGGAATGTTTTTGTAATTGTTATTTTCATGATGAGACGACTTGAGAAGGACAAAAACTTGTTTCAGATAAACACTGTGAGGAATCTGTAGAGCTTTTTCCTGTGTTCTCTTTATCTGATTATCAGCGCTTCAAATCTGGATGTGACCTATCAGTCTTCAGTGCACAAGCTTTTCTTCAGCTTGAGTATGTGAAGAGTCTGCATCAAAAATGCAATGGAATCTGTATTGCAGGATTAGAGTCTAATGCACAGTTACTACCACTTCCACCTCTTTCACTCCCCAGTGTGGAAAGTGGGCTAACTGGGGACATTGCTGTAGTAGAACACACGTTTTGCTCTCTTAGAGATCCTAGCAAAAGGAAAGACCTCTGTAGTATTTATAAGAAACAAATAATGTATTTTTAGAAATGTGTGTTCTCATTTAATCACTTCATCCCATTGAAACAGCAAATCAAACTGCTTGGGAAAACTCCCTTTTTCCACCACTGGCTTACTATAAAACAATCCAAACCCCTCTCTGATTCATGGGACTGTCATTTCCACTTGTGCACGCTGCTTCTTGCTTCCCTTCCCTTCTTCCTCAAGAAACAGTTACCGTTCCCATGAAAGTAAGAGACCCTAAGGGAAGGGAAAACCAGGGATAAGTGCTGAGTTTCACTGTGGTTGGAGGCAAGTTGATAGTTGACTGTTTCATCTTATTGTATGTAACATAAACAAATAGTGTTTTCCTTTCTGAGCTTGTTTGTGAGAGTTTAACTCCCTTGCTTATTTTCAAGCCCCCTTTTTACATTGTTCTGACTCTTTCCACCCAAGAGCACTTTTTCTGCTCTTTACCACCTTCCTGTGCTTATATTGCTTTCCAAATTCTCCTCCCTCACGTTGAGTCACACCTTCCAAATGCTGCCATTGCCCTACCCAGCCCTTTCCGTCTATTCTCTTCCGACTTTGTCATCCTGATGGATGCTAGCTTGGGTAGTAAGTAACCCGCATCACACAGCAGCTCTGAGCTCTGTGCAGTGCTGCCCTGAGTATTCTGAAGACAGTTAATAACATGATGACCAGTTTCCAAAACATTTTGAATATTCAGTTAAAGAAACTGTCTGTATTCTTTCTGCAAACAGCTGAAGGAAATATTGTAGTTTGGAATATGCTGTAGAGCCATCACTCTTCACGTATCTTCTTGCATGTAGACTGTAGAGACGATGTCTTGTTTATCCATAACCAGGTGTGGTTTTGATTCTTTCTCTTTCATCCAGCTCTCTGTTCTGTCCTCGCCATCATCCACTGGCATTGCCTATCTGCCATGTTACACCCTCCTTCCACTCCATCTATCCTTGTTTATAAATGCCCTCTGTTGCTTTGGGGCTGCTGTGCATGTGTCTGCCTGTTTTCCCCCTGTGCCCCTTGCTGTGCCAGGCATTCCTCCTGCCTCAGTAAGTCTGGGGACCTTCCATCCAGGTCTGAATCACAGACTGGGGTGCCTGTTAAGGAGAAGCAGGTACTCCATTTGTCTTTCCCAGGTTTTTTATCTTCAATGAAGAATTGCTGTTTTGTCCCACTGGCTACCCAAACAGTGCCCCAAAATTCTGAGTTCAAAGGATGTGGTATCTGTAAGTTACCTTATTAAAAAACTCTAGTTTTGCTTGGCCAGACTCAGCCCATTGTAGCAGTTACTGTGTTCTTTACCTCTAGGCTCCATGGTGATTGCTCTATAAAGGCTCTGATTCCACATGTGTTGACAAAATAATGTATATGTGATCATATTAAATAAGAAATCATCAATCTGCAAAGTGGCAGGAGATGAGAGCACAGTTACATGAAATGTCTGCCTCTCCTGGCATTTATGTTAAGATTTAGAGGGATATGCTTCTGCTGCTTAAAGAAAAAGTGGGATTAATTTTTACTGTACAGAAATAACTCCCAAGGATTGTGGATTAATATTCAGAGAGATTGTGGATTAATATTCAGAGAAGGGCAATGATGAGGTCTCTGGCAGTTCTTTGAACACTGCAGAAAGAAGCCCAATGGAAAATGAAGGCAGCTGAAGCTGTACTGAGGAAATAGCAGGTTATGGAGGGTGAAGAAACCTGCCTCAGTTACCCTTTATCCAACTTACTTACTGGCAACTATAATAATTCCTGCAGCCACCTCAGGTGTAGCTGCTATGCAAAGGCTATTTTACAGTCCTTTCCATAAAGCAGTTTTAAACACTGTATGTGTTTGACTGTCTCTTTAAGACTTTGCAAGTGTTTTGGCATACTTAGGTTCTTCTAAGTGTTGCTTATTGCTATGGCAACACTAATCAATCATCATGCTAAAAATAGGCCTTTCATTTTTCAAGAGGTTATCTGTAGTGAATTGAAAATGCAAGTGCAGTCTGTGTTTTCCGTATGCTGCTTTCATTTCACTTTATTTTGATCTGGAAATACCCTTGTGGTAATTACTATTACAGACTCCAGTTATCTCACTGGTTACTCTCCTGAGCCTTAAACCTCTTCCAAAAGGGATGCCAAATATAGAAAGTTTAAGAAAGCAAACAAACAAAAACCCCAGGATAGTCTCTTACTTGCTTTTGAGTGTCACCGGCATACTGGATTATAACAGATTTTTAGGGAGTTTATAATACATCTAAAAATCCTGGCAGTGGCAATATAAAAGACTCCTCCTTTTAGAGCTTCTCACAAAGGAATGTGTTTTACTGAAGGCACGAGGACTCTGAAGATTTTGCCCTGTAATGTAGAATTTAAACCTAATTTCACATTCAAGTTTCAGTTTGCCACTGTTTTCTCCAAGAGGAACCTTTTGGGCTGTAGAGACACTGAAATGGGAAATTGGAAATGGTGCCCAGTGCATGTGCTCAGCGCATCGATCACCGCCAGGCTTGGGCTGGAAGAATGCACACCCCAGGAGGCAGAGCAGAAAGGGAGTGGTGCTCTGGGAGGAAAGGTTTATTACCTGCCATTCACTCTCAAGTTTGACTCTGGCTCTTGCATAAGACTTCTAATCCCCAGCTAAGTAAATACACAGGCACTTAAGGAGGGGGGGAAAAACCCGACAACTTTTTGCATGATGAATAATCAAGTCTTTTGAATGATGCATAAACAGTTTTCTGGTGCTGCCAGAGCCCTCTGCCAATTAGTCAGAGTGCAGCTGATGAATCATGAGACACATTCTGTGAAATGTTCAGAAATCTGGACCCGGCTCCATGTTCCTGAAAGCCAGTGAGACCCCCCACAGCTGCTGGAGCAGTGGTTGCCAGTCAGTCGAGTTTCTGAGAGAGATACTTGCAATGGAATACTTTTTGGTGGATTTTAGTTTGGGTAAATTCATGTTTCCATTTAGAATCTCAAATTAGATGGTTATGGTCCTGGCCTTCATACTGAATACACAGAGAAGTTGGCTTTTGACAGCTATGTGCAGAAAATTACTCTCTGCTCTCTAATGAGGTGGCTTGAAGTACATGGCACTTACAATTCTTCTATAATACTCTGAAGATCCTTGGTCTTTTCTTAACGTTTCTTTTCTCTTAAATACAAGGTTAGAAGATCTCTTTTTTAATTAGAGTGTAGTTTCTGGGTCACAGGAAACAACAACCAGATTCAAGCAGGGGCTTGATGAACTGCTACAGGCAGCCTAATGCAGTTTGAGTTCAATCGATGAAATGGCTGCATTTCAAAGTATCACGATCTTGACTCATTGCTGGTAAATTCTAGACTGTGACTGAAAATAGTAGAGATTTTTTAATAGCAAGGTGAAAAGGAAATCTGGCATTCGGCTTTATTCCGAATTTCCTCTGAAACTGCAGCCATGCTTTAAATACACAAGTTTTTCTTATTTCCGTTCTTATCCTCCACTGTACCTAGAACTGGAACCTACAAGCAAATATTTTGATCAAGAAAAATTGTTTTAAGTGTTGAAAAATGTGCTCCTGCTGCATCCCTGTGTCTCCTGGGTCATTCCCCATTTTTTTGTAACCACATTTAGAACTTTTCTTACTTTAGGAACATTTGATCATAGAATTCTTTAATCCATCTCTTCTTCCAGCTAGTATCAAGATAGTTCAGAGATGTTCATTCCACCTTTTGGTTCATTTTTGAGACCCAAATTAGAGCCTTATGACAAACCTTGGTGCTGGTTTTCTTTATTCTTTTCCCCCAACTTCTTTCCCTGTAGTGCCTGTTGTGTGCCAAGGCTTTTGTTTGCAGATGCCTGTGATGTCTGCCAGAATAGGAGCAACATGCTGAGGGTACACAATGAAACCTGAACTGAGAGAATATCTGAATGGGGTTTTGGTGTTACAAGATCCCCAGTTCTGACAGATCGCTTATAAATATTGTATATTATCAGCTGGCACTGTCTGATATACATGCATAGGAAATGTTTAACTGCCCACAACAGACAGGTCATAGGTACAGATCTATCACTGAACTTGCCCCATCCTGCACTCCACGTAACTGCTGATATTTTACTGTATTTTTCCTCTCACATAGTCTCTCAGTGAACAAGTTCCATAGCTGAGAGCTTGTCACAGCTGAGGTTGGACTGAAACTCGTAAATGTGCTACTCCACAGACGTCTAAGAAAAGGCAAAACCTTTGTAAGATCTGAAGAGAAGCCTGTGGGGTCTGGGCATCTGCAGCATCAACATGTCACAGGGAGGATTTCATTATGTTAATGGGAAGACAGTTTGACCAGACACCTTCTGTGGCACCAGAACCCTATGCTGGCAAAACTCACTCCTTTTTTCAACAGGGATTGATTCTAGATGTGCTTGTTGAATACTGAATTTCCTGTGAGCAGAAGACTAAATGATGACTTGTTGGGTGATATCCATGGAAATAGGAATACGTTTTCTGCTGTCTCAAAGGAGATGGCTTCTCATTTCCATTCTGTTGCACCACAGCTGGCCTTCTAATTCACCTCTGTTCTTAGTCATCAGCCCCTCCCTTAGACAAACTCTTCAAATTTGATCAAGTCCAAACTTGTACCAACAGCAATGTGAACTCTGAGGCATCAACATCCTTGTTGTATAAGCTGTATGTACAGCACATTCAATAGTCATGGTCTTTACAAAGATACTTTGCCACAGGGTATTAGTGATGCATCACGCAAAGAGCTGGCACTTCTGTTTCACTGGCAATTGATGCAAGAAAAGACTTGCTGACTGGCAGTAAAGATGCTGAACTAGTACCCTTCAGAGTCTGAAGCAGCTACAATGCCTATGTGAAAAGTTGAGTTGAAAGAACTGTGAAATGCTAAAGAAAAGATATTTGAAGTATTTTTTCCACTGGAACCATGTTGCCTGATATTAGAAATTCTAGTGTTGATAAGCCAACAGTATGCTTTTTCTTGAAGTTATGTGAGTAAAACGAGAAAGCTGATACCAAACAGGATGTACTGAGCATGTCAGTGGTTGAAACAAAGCTCAATTTTTATGTCAAACGTATTTTCTCTTTTGTTGCAGTGTTCATTTTTGCCTAAATTCTCCATTCACATAGAGACAAAATACGAGGACAACAAAGGAAGCAATGACAGTGTAAGTATGATGATGGCTTTTGCAAAATTTGATGTAATCCATGTAGTTAAGCATGGCTGTATGTGGGGGCCGCAGGTCTTTCAGTATGGGAGAAAGGCCTCACCAGGTTTGTACCTTTGCACCCACCAGGGTGTCCTGTCCATGAGCAGCTCCTCAGCTGGGTGTCCTCTGACACCTTTATCTGAGGAGATAAAAGATTCAGGTACACGACTTCCCTTCTGCCTCTGTATTCTACTTGTTACTTCTCTAAACACAATGTAATTTACGTATGTGGATTTAGTCCTGATGAACATTTACGGAGAGTAAAAAAAAGATTACTCTTTTTGGGGGTGCAGTTGCATTTCACATTATCTGTTCACATTATTCTCTCTGAGTAAAGGGGGTTGAATTCAAAGGCTGTTAGGAAGAGCAAACAGGAAGCTAAACAATAGAGATGAGAGACCTCAGTAAACAACTTCAAGGGAACAATGGCTAGACTACTGAAGTGATGCTTTTGGCAACCACTTACCAAAAGTTAAGATGTCCTCAGAGTTAGAGCTTAGAGATGGAAAGGGTAATTAACCATGCAGAATCCTCTCTAGAGGAAGGGTGGGAGTGAGTAGCCAGCAGCTGCTGATGGGGAGATGCGCAGGGATAGAAGGCAGGAGATCACTCTGACTTTGTGGCCTTGACAGGGAGCAAAGCAAAGTCATACAACTTGCAAGAAAAGAGTAACATTCAGTAAAGCCAGGCATGTAGAGATTCAGCCCTCAGATTAATACACAAATACATTTCTACATGTTTCATTGTGGTATGCTTTAAACAGTTGTTTGCTGCAGACTTAAGAAGTTTCTCACAGGTATGAAATGCAGGTTAAAATGTAACCCAGAGACCTAAAGGAGGAGTCTTTGAACTCATTCTGGAGAAAGAAGAAGGCAGAAAAGCATATCTTAAGGGATGCGCAACACTGAGCTGTTCGGTTTCCAGGGGTGTCCCTCCAGCAGCCTTGCAGAGGTGGAAGTGTGCTGCTCTCTATATGGGAGGTGCGCTTCCCCACCCGCCCTGGGCTGGTGTACTAATGGGGCTGACAGCTGTGCACTGCTTATGGTAGAGTAATTACATGTAAAAGAACAAGGTATAATTTTGAATAATGCTTTTGGCATACAGCTACTTTCCCAATGGGAACATGACAGAGATCAGGTATTAGCCACCAGATACCAACAACTTTCAGTCACTGCTAGTCTAAGCCAGAGGGGAGGGGGGGGGGGGGGGGAGGAGGAAAGGAGGGCATTACATTTCCAACTAGATGAGCATTATGTAATTTGTGCACTTGTTAATGTTCACTTTTGGGTTTTGGCAGCACTTTAATTTAGAGCAAGCCCACACCTTTGCTTTTGGGAGGTACAGACTAGTTTTCTGGTACATTATAATACCAGCAGTGAGAAGACACATTCTGTACTGATGCCTAACAGAGGAAGAACTGAGGGTACTTATTTTGTGGCTAAAATATTATGACTCAAGCCCCGATTAGTACTCAAGTACCCTGCCAGTGAATTTAAGATGAACGTAACACAGAGGTAGGATACCCAGATGATGTAAATCAAAGAATCTCTACTCTGCTTGAATCCAGCTCTTCAAATGTAATTTTTACCAGAGTGTCAGTGGGGTAATACTGTATTACCTTTACATTGCAGTACCTGAGTCACAGAGACTAGGCAAGTATTTACTAAGATTAACAGATTTAATTTGACCCTTACTTGAACTAAGAAGGAAAAAGAGAAGAGGGCTGCACTCCAGCCCTGATTTCCATGTCCTTCTGAGAGCTGGGCTATTCACTAGTATGAACACAATAAACCAGTGGAAGATAGACATTTTTTGCTGTTGATCCAGTGATGTGGCTGATACAGCCCCAAAATGCTGGAAGGTTGGTAAATATGGAGGGATGTGATTGAGCCTGTGGAGAGATTTCTATTAAACCAAACACCTAGGACTCGGTTGGTCTGGTTTCTGTTTCTCAGTGTGTAAGCTTAAATCCCACTTAAGAAAATGCAGAGTATTTCACCTTTGTATCATACAAGTTTAGATTAAATTTCACTGTGTTTTCATGGTCAGAAAACAACAGGAATCACAGCATTCATTCCTAGAGATTTCTAAATTTCTATATTTCTCAGCTATTTCTAGATACATTTTTGAGATCGTACAGGTTTTTTTGAAATCCTTGGTCTGTTCTTCATTTCCATCCTAGGTAATAGATTAGATACTGATTGTGAAAAGCAATAATTAGATCTAAGGATACTAAAACTAATTCGATTGCTTAGTGGAAGAAAGCAATATAAATGCTCTTGGGTTCCTGTTGTCATTTAGCAGGCTGCTGTGCCATTAGAATTATTTTATTTAACATGTTGCACTGTCTGGTAAAATTCTACCTAATTACTGCAATATATCTTGATGCAAAAGTCCTCCTGATTTTTCTTGCCAGTTGTCATCATAGAAGGAACTAGTGCAAGATAATGGTACCTGCTTTGGAACTTCATTTTTCCATGTCTCCAGCTTTGTCATCATTTTAACCTATTTTAAATGTGCTTAAAGCACTGTTGTTCCAATCTGTTCAAGTTTGCACTTGATTTGCACAAATGTAAACCTTGCCAGAAAGAAAAACGGAAAATAAACCCCTGTATTTAGATAAAACATTGTGTAGATGGTGATAGTGCAGCACCATAAATCCATCCAGTTGTGATTTGTAGTGCTCCAGCACAGCTGATGTTGCTGTATCATATCTAGAAGCTCACGTGGCAGGTCTTTCCTTAGACAAACAGAGTCATTGTTGGGTGAACATGTTAGTACATCAAATATTGTCACTGCTACCTTGAAGCTTTATAGCTTCATTAGTAGTGCTAGAAACCAGACCAGTGAGTTGGGGTCATTCAGGGTTTCCTCTAAATGGTCTTTTTAAAAGTAAACTTCTTATTTTAAAGAGAAATTTTATTTTTATTTTACTTTTATTTTAAATTACAGAATGGACTTTCTAAAACTTAGAATGATTTGTAAAATGTAAATGACACTGTAGGTGGTATCTGTGGAGTACGTGAAAATGCTGCTTCCCTCCTGCATCTTCATCTGCTTATGTAAGGCAGGGTGGCAGCAGAACCTGCTGGAAGAGGGAAGTGCGGGTCCTACAACAGCCAGCAGCAGTGAGCACAGACAAGCTAGAAGAGTGCCCATTAATCACTCAGTGCACACTTTTTTGCCCGGAAGGAAAATGAGCAAATAGGGAATTTGAATCTAGATGCACAAAGTCTGTATTTTGAATGTTAAAACCATAAGTTAAATAGAAAAGAGTTCTTAAGGTATAATAATGAAATGGTTAGAAGTGACAGGCAGGAGTGGTGTAAGTTACTGGTTGGTTGTGAAGAAATGGTTAGTCTGTGGTTTTCATGAGCACATAAAACCCCCTTTTTTTATTCTATTTGGACAGATATGATTTAACAATTTCTTGAATGGTCAGTATTTATGTATAATTTCATCATAACGGTGTATTGCTCTCACTTTTCTCGCATCTCTCTTACCGTTTCAGCATACACAGACAAACTACAGACATACATTTTGTTTTTAATTTTAATGGGGAATGCACCAGCTTGGGCTTTGTTGATTACAGAGGATCCACCACATGGCTCTAGATGCTGTAATCAATGCACAGTGATCTCACGTGCTGCAGCTCCGTGTCTGTTCTTGCATGCCACAGTCTAGTCCTGTGAACGTTACTGCCTGGTGAAGGCAGACATGCTGTCAAGGTTCAAGCAAATCCCTGGCTTTCAGACACGTGTCAGTTTTGCTGTTTGTTGCAGAAGGATCATTATGTTTGACTGGGGTTTGTTGGGGTTTTTTTTATTGTTTGTTTTTTAGTCACAGAATGAATTTCTGCTGATATTTGGGCAGTGAATTTTTGCCATCTGATACCATCTGGGGAAAGTAAAGTACAGCTTGTAAAAATAATCCAGTAGTTGTCAATAATGGAAATTCAGTGTGTGCAAAACAGTGCCTTGTTCTTTGCAGCGTAACATTTTGCTCTGGAAAACTCAATGGTTAGATCTTGAGTATTAAGGAATAACATGCAAGACCTTACAGTAACCTAGTCTTTCTTTTTCCTAAAGGACCATGATATTTATTAGCAAGAATAACATTATTCTTAAGGGCAATGTAAGGATTCTGAGGCAAAGTTACATTTCAAGATGACAAATTACGAGTCTCATTGGGCAAGTTCTCATAAGAGTATGTCGCAGTAATGCTGATAGAGTCATAAGAGCTGCAGCACTAATTCTTTCTCCATCAAGAGAAAAATAGATTATCAGCATGTTTATTGCCTTTCAAAGGTAATATAGTTTTGAATGACCACTGTCAAATGAAACCAGGAGGTAGTTCTGTATTCCCTATAGTTATAAATTAACACCAGTATCATCTGACACATTAATAGCTTGAGCACACCAAAGCTGATAGCAGATGCTATTTAATACACAACCTAAGTAAATTGCAATGCCATCAGTTAAAGTTAGAAAATCCTTTCTTGCCAGGGAGTTCTCATTCTGCAGCCCCACAAGTGACCATGTACACAGTAGTGATTGCTCATTGTGCTTCATCCTTAATCTGTATTTCTGAAGTGTGTATTCTGATTGGGAAATATTTGACAAAAGTGAGATCAATTTTAGATACGGCCAGCTAAGAAGAAAAGCCATTTTTAGTGCTGCTGGTTTTAGGGTGGTTTATCCCCCTACTTTTGTCTCCTATCTTGGTAACACAGAGCTAGGTTGTAATGAACTTAATATAGAACATGTAAATTAAATGTAAATTCCCTATTTAAGGAAATTGCCATAAAAAAACTATTGTCAGCTGCAATGGAGTCAGCTGTGCCCTGGCTTGGCCTCATCGCGCTACAGGATATCATGGTGTAAATTGGCTAAAGGACTGCCAGGCACCACTGCAATTATGTCAAAATCAAGGTTCAGTTTTAGGGATGATTTTATTTGCACCTGGACTTTTTCTGTATGATGCTGTTCAGTATCTGTTTGCTTCATGATTTGCAATGAAAAATCTTGATTTTGTGAGGCTTTTCCCCCTCTAAGAAGTTTCAAAGGGTACAGACAAATAAATGGTGAGGTTAGCTGAAAGTTCCTTCTGTGCCAAGAGCTCTCCTTTTGGTGAATATCATTACAAATAGTGAGTCCCTAACACGTATGGCTACTGCAAAACTAAGATAAGGCCCATACTGACAGAATGTGAGCAAGTAATATGGTTGTGCCTCTCCTATTTGATTTTTCTAACTGAACGACTGAAGTGAATTAGTAACTGTAACACTTGAAATGGATGCGGCTTTAAAAAACCTAATCCCAGTTAATATTCCCAGTCCGTTATGGCCTTGGAGCTACTTTGACGTAATTACATGAAAATACAGTTCTCTCTTCAGAAAGTACAAATCTAAGCGAGATATTTTGTGAGAGATAGAATAATAGAGGAGTCGTGACATAGAGAAAAAAGAGAGCAGGCAACAAGGCTGCTGATAAAGATGTGGCTGCTCTTCCTCTCTGCAGCAGTGATATTCCCATGCTGATCAGTGAGCCACGTTTACTGCTCCCAGGGAGGGATTCAGACTCTTTCCATCAAACTGCTCCCCGTTATGTATGTCCACATGAATAGTTTTAGCCAGTGAACAGGTTTGAAATTGGGCAATTCCTGTAATCTTTGCCCAAGTAAATCTCCAAAGCAAATTAATGGACTTTGGGGGTAAGGAGGTTGGAACATGACTTAGTGAAAAGTTACACACTGAATAAAACTCCAGAGTTTAATTTCTGAGGAGGTGGCCTTTTATTCTAGACCAAATTTTCCTCCAGGAAAATGAGAGTTAAAGTGGAGCAGATGACACAACCTGCTAAAGGATGCTGTAATACAAAACTGGAGACTAGCCAGTAGTTCTGACGAAGGCAATTTAAGGGGATTAGAATTTCAAGGTGGAGAGCAGGTTTTGTACCTTTTTAATAGGGAAAAAAAAACTATTCTTGCAGGCCTTACTGCAATTGCACCTCTAAATTTTTCATACTATTAAATCTAGATTTAAACCATCCTACAAATGATGAATCCATATATATTCTGCTCTTGATGACAGGAAAGAAACATCACAAGATACATTCATATATTATGAAACAAAGCCAAGGCAAACAAGCACTGATCTGACCCTCAGAGTCCTACTAGCATAGGAGAATGGACTCAGCAGGGTCTGACTTTATACCCATTTCTATCCAAACCAGGTTGGCTATGGGGATTTGCTATAAAAGTTACATTTGGGATTAGCTACATCTGAACGAGGGTGAAGCCAGCAACTTAGCCTGAAGATAAAAGAAGAAAAATGGGAAAGGAACTTGTAGAAAAAGATACTAAATTTGTTGTTGACTTACTGTCATCTCATAACCTGACTTTCCATTCTGGCTGTGGCTACAAAGAAAAGTCAAGTCTCTAACAATGTGCTAGGATATGTCATTGTAGGTCATGAGGAAAATGAAGGAAAGAATTCTAAATACAGCAGCACTTGGATTGCTGCAGTATCCTCTGTGATCTTCCTTTCCTGAGGCACTGGAATCATCTGCCAGAGTCTGAAAATTTTCCCCAAAAGACACTACTGACAATCGTAACGATGACCCAACTGAAATCTTTTTTCCACTTTTCCTGTGGGTGAGTTAGTCTACATAATGATGAGGTTTCAGTCCTCTTGGAAAGTGTATAAATGTTTGTCTGTTGTAAAAAACCTGTCACAAACCCCACCCCTAAGAAAAGCCAAACTCTGATGCAGAAAGGACTCTCCAGCCTGAATATTACTCTTTGTTTTCCATTTGATTGTGTATTTCAATATCAATTAATTACTTGGCTTCCAACTGTAAAGCCTGTCCAGCTCTTTCCAAAATAATATTTAATATTCTGCCTTTCTACATCATCTTCTTAAGGATACAGATTGTTCTCACCATTCATTTTCTGCACATTTGTGAATACAGTTGCACAGATTGGGAGCCTTATGCTTCTTTTTGTGGCCTTTAATCTCTTCCTTTAAAACTTCTAAATTTTAGTCTCTTTGATCACAAACACTATAAACCCATCCTTCCTACAGGTTTTGAGGCAATCGCAGATTATGGGGTTAGGAGAGGAAATAAGAGAATTAGAGCTAGGAAAGAAATCAGTCTTGTTCTCTAATGACTTCTTACTTTCTGCTGCTGATAGAATGAGAAGATTAAATCCCTATCTGCAAATGCTGTGAGGACAATCTAAGAAGGGGAAAAGCATAAATGATTAGACAGCAACTTGTGCCAGTAAAGGGAAGCAACAATGTCATTCAGCAAACTTCTGGAATGGAGGAAATGGTCAGAGGTAGCTGAAGCAGCAAATAAGGCACAGTTGAAATGCTTGAAAAATTCCTCCTGTTTTTGACAGATTGGCAAAGGCATCTGTCATCCCCACTTCTAGCAAAGCATTTGAAAGAGAAAAAGAATGTAAAACTATATTACTTAGAGGTGCAATATGTGGATCAAGCCTGTGACAGAGCAGGGCACATTTTTTTCAGATAAGATATTGGGTAATAGTTCCAATTTAGGTCCTTGCAAATGTGCAGATTTGTGTGTGCTTAAATTCATGAGGTTTGTACTTAAACCATACACTGACTGATTCAGGGCCTCAGTTGACCTGGTAATGGCCATTTAAGAGAATTCTCCATTATTTTATTTAAAGCTCAGAGATTATAGTGAAAGCATCTTGTTCCAGAAATAGCTCAGCTGATTTCATCAAGGGACTGCTCTGTATATCTGAATTTGCTTAGGAGAAAAGCAAGCAGGGAAGCTTGTAAAAAGCAACCTGTATTATACATATCAAACACAACAGCTATTTAAAAAATGTATTCCAAGAAAGGGCATGATGGGGAAAGGCCCCCTCAGCTCACATTTGTTCAAATAATCACCATGTTTTGCAAAACAAGGACTGGAGAAGGAAAATAAGTACACAGATAAAAGCAGACTGGAGTTTCCCTTTGTTTCGTTCTTCTGCAGTTTCAGACACATTAACATTTTATATCCAGTTCACAAAGCATTCAGCATTGCTTATTTTATTCCAGTGCTGTTAATGACCAAGACAAGTTAAAATGGTAGAGTCAAACTTCAGCTTTTCGTATATTTCCTGAGCAACGTTCTCCTTACCAGCTGGTAAACTGGTTCATCATAGTTCATTGCTCACTTTGAATGCTTTAAATGGGTAGCCGCATCTTCCAGAACCACTAAAGTAGCATTCTTGTTACTGAATAGTCGCTGGCATTTTGTTTTTTTAACTGTTCCTTTAGGATGAAGTGAAATTAACAGAGCGTTCACTGCATTTATTTAACAACAACAAAAAAAGAAAACAGTATTTATGCTTCCTGGAAACATTCGCTATAGAACACTGTGCCCCAAAGGGAAAAACACATCCTTGGCTTGTTACTGATCTTGACAGTGTCTGCAGAGCTTCCCTGAATTTGATGGTTCATGATAGCCTTTTAGCTAGCCACTATTTCCAAGTCCCAGAATCACAAGTAGAATTATATTGCAGGGATAGGATCAGTCACATGGGTCACCAAGATGCCTCAATCGTTAAATTCTGGGCACAGGCACAGATGCAAATGACCTGCATTTCAAATATAGCCGTCGTTTGCCTTGCAAAAACAAGAGACTTGAGGTTCAAAACCAGCTCCTAAAGGACTGAGATGAAAATAAGCTCTGAGTGTGCTCAAATGGATGGAAGTTTCCAGCTTCCACTGAGGACAGTTCAACCAGACTTTTGATTCTCAGTATAACAGCACCTTAGCCTGAGTTGTTCACACAAAATACCTGCATTTCATTCTTGTCCCTAGAGTGAAAAGGTTAGAAACAGCCAGAGTCCAGAAACTTAAGTTTTTTACACAGTAATGGAATCCAGCTCAAAGAGTAGAGAACACAATAAACCCCATCCTAGATGTTGACTTTACTATTTGTAACCAAAGTCTCCCTTCCAAAAAGTACAAGGAAGACCTGCAGTGTGAGCAGTAAGTGCTGAACACGATGTGTTAACGTCTAACAGTCCTCTGTTGATCTGACATAGTGGATTGTTCCTGAAAAAGTCTGTGGGATAATTCATTCGAACTGTCATAAATTTTGCTTAGGAACACCTTGTTTATGTATGATCTTGAGAACACCGATTTTCTTGCCTTTGACATCTGCTAGAGAACGTGACTGTGTCCCTGCAAAAACTTTGGTATCTTACATCAGAAGATGTTCAGATGCAAGCCAAAAATACATTATGTTGCACAAGTCATTGAAATTGCTTGTAACGGTTATTCCAGGTGGATTTTGTAAGGGTGATGTTCTGAACAGTGCTGAGTCTCTTTAACTCTTGCAGATTTTTGACAAAGAAGCTAAAGACCTGGAGAGAGAAGTCTGCTTTATTGATATTGCCAGTGATGAAATTCCCGAGCGCTATTACAAGGAATCAGAGGTAAGAGACAACTTGGTTTGAATTGGTGAAGAAGGGAATGTAAGAGGCTGCAGGAAAGCCTTGATAGTAATCAAATCAAAGGGTTTTTTTGTATGAAATCTTGCTGGTCAGTAGTATTTAAGAAGCTTTCAATTTGAGGGGAAGCCGATAGCAACCTCCTTATCTAGATTGCCTGACACTTCCTTTTGCAGATGGTTCCTCCAACCTTTTGAAATGCTTTCATACCCTTATCGGAACATATCCTGTACCAGATCTTTGATGTTCATCTGAATTCATTCAAAGTAGAAAAAGACTTTTCTTTGAATCATGAAGCTCAGTTAAGTGTTTGCAGGTCTGAGGGGTATTAAATGTTCCTGTCATCCTTACTTGCATCTCGCCATGATGAACAAGTCGTGTGAAGTGTCTGAGCCCAGGCAAAGGACAGATGAGGACAGGGTTGATGCACAAGGTAACTCATTGGTGACCATGACACAAGACCAAGAAGGACTGAAGTAGACTACATGCTGCAGTGAATCTGCCAGGAAGCATCAATGGCAGCAGACACATTCGTTCCCTTAGAATTCCCTTGGAAATCACTCCATGTATATTTGATGGCTCACATCTCTAAAGAGCACTCTTCTTTTAGGTCAGTGCAATTCACTGGTTTGAAATCAGCGGCCATCATGCAAATGAAGATGAGGCCTCAGTAACCTCAGACTTGAAAAATGATGGTTCACAACAAGTAGCTAGAGAGGAAAGATCAGATCTCTGCTTGCATTTAATTCTGGAGATATGATTTTCCTCTGGAGCCAAGTATATATTCATAGCTGGCAATGAGTATGGCAGCTGTTTGACTATACAAAACGAGACTACATAATCATTTTTAGGGCAGAAAATGAAGACTTGCCAATGAATTGATTTCTATACCATAGGAGACATGATTTTCAGACTAAAAAAGTCGGGTACTTGTTATCTTCCATTTATAGATCCTATTTCAAATTTTATGTATGGGTCATAAAACCAAATTGGGTCTACAGTAGAATGAAAAGTAATTTTATTAGTTCCCTTAGATAATGAAACCCATCTGGTTAGTACTAAAATTGTATAACACCTCATGAAACAGCTTATTGGTCCCATCATCTTATCTGAACTCCATAGTCTCCTGGTTCCATTTAGGAATGACTGCTGCTATTGAATGGGTCAGCATTTCACTGGGCTTTAAAGAAATCATGTCAGATTTTCCATGTCGGTGTGTGCACTTCCAGAAATGGTAAACATGGAGGTTTAACACCTTTTCAGCTTTCCTTCCCATTTTTAATAGCCAACTATTAAGTATAATTTCCACATGGTTACTCTTATGATAGAGGAAACCAACCTCATGTTAAGCAAGAAAGAATTTCAGTCTTTGTGTTGTTATTTCAGACACTAGAGACCTGATTCCAAGCAAAATGGAATTTTACATGGGTTTAAACAACAAAAATAGCCCAGCATCTGTTGTTTTTTTCTGTACTGATGGATGATGTGTATGTGCCTACCAAATTCTGTTTCAGAATTTGTACAAAATAGTAAGAACACCTTAGCATTTAACTGTGCACATACTGTAACTGACACTGAATTAAAAATAGTTGAATTAAGTATCTTCCAAAATTTACCAGCTATGGGGTTTTATGCTACCATATGATGAATGTGAAGCCAAATTCCCATTTCTCATGAAGCCTCATACATCATTTAGGGACTATAAAAAGATTTTTAATGTTGTAAATGTAATTTCTGTCTGTCTTCAATCAGAACAGGATAAAAAGTAAGTTTGTGTAAATGAGGAATGGTCTGTGTTTTCCAAATAGCAGTTTTAGAGATAACTAAAACCCATTTACTGAAAGCTTTTGAAAGGCATTTTAGTTCTAATAATAATTTGGCTGCTTTTAGTTCATTTAGCTGAAGTGATACTAAGATTAGAGATTAAAAGTGATTTAAGAATTAGATCACGCAGGGTAGTGTTCTGACTCCCGTCTGGAAAGACCACTGAGAATGATTTTAACTTCAGGCATGTTAGTAATCTCTTCAGCTCAGTGGAGCTTCTACATGATTACAGTTAAGTGAGTTCTGGATCAGGGTCAGCATATGTGGCAGTTTCTAGACATGAGCTTTAAATTTCTTTTATATCCTGATGAAAGTGCATCCCTCTTCAATTAAAAATATATGTCATTTTTAACAGCAAATTTCCTTATTTAGTTTCATTACTGTATATTAAAGGGGTAACTTAAATAATTTAAACCTTTCACACACTGCTTCAACTGCTTGTAGATGGGTGATTGCTGATATGATCAGACAGCACTAATTGCATAGTTGCAGTTAAGCTAGTATTTGTGATTTCCATTATTTTGAACTTTGAAGTGCTCAGTTACCCTTCACAGGCTGTTTGGGCCAAAAACCTAAGTTTTTCAGCCCCTTCCTACAATTTGGCTGTGACCTTTCTTTGGGCTACTGTATCAAATAACATTGATTGTACCAGAATGAGCTTGGGCAGCTTTAGTGTTGTTTTTCTCGTTTCTATAAATGGAAGATGCGATTGTGCGATATCAGTATCATCAATAGAGGTGATAATAGTGCAGCAACCATGGGAGGGTTCAGGAGATACCCAAGGAACCCACAGCAACAAACTCCATACAGAGTGAAGCAACCCATCTCTTCTTCCTAGCACCTGGGTTCTAAAACATGGCTTTTCACTTGCCCTGACATGAATCCTATAAACATATCTATATTCTACCTTCCATTGTAACTTACGTAATAATGATTCATGCATAAAAAGGCAACATGTATAAAACATCATACATAAATGTATACTCCATTTGAATTGCACAGCTCATTTTGACTTGTGCTGGTGCTGCTGAGAAAGGAGAAGTGTTCCACGAAAATGTCATGGTGGTTGAAGGGAAAATGATTGAATTCAGATCTGTGCATATCTGCTTTTTCTCTCCAAGTATTAACTAAAACGGAAAAGGAAAAATATAGTTAGCTGGAGGCTTCAGGAGAGCTGTTGTTTCACTGAGGAGGGACCTCTGCCAATAATGCTGGGTGATCTCTTGTCCAGAGGCCTGCAAGTGATTTGAATTCCCTTCAGAATGGAGAGCTTATCTGTCAGTGTGTGCAGAGAAGGACTTAAATCACCAAGTAAATAGTGAATCAGAGACAATTTGTAGCTATTACAAACATACACCGAGTCCAAGTCTGTCCTCCATGGAGGTGTACGGGTTTCTGGTGTCCAAAAAGTTGTCCTTGCAGAAGCCTGGAGGGGATGTAAGTGCAGCAGTCTTGGGCCTCCCAAAGCAGATGACTGAATTTTGACTTAATGACCATCTACAACCTTCATTGTGCAGTAGCCACGAGAACACCCCACAATGCTGCCATATCTTAAATAAAGCAGGGTTTTTTTACTAGCATGGGCCTAAAAATCCTTAAACTTCAAAAGTTTAAAATGTGAGTTCCCAAATGGAGAAAGCTTGAATCTAGGCTAACAAGTTTGCCTGTTTTTCTGTAAGGACTCACATATGTGTCCAAATCTGAATGTGTGTATTACATCAAATACAGAATTTTCTGTATCTATATAAAGAATGTGCAAGCCTACAGGTAAGAGTAGTTGCACATTTTGTAAATTCATTTCCTTGCGACTTTACCCTCAATGAATATGTATCACCAGCCATCATGTATTCCCCATATAGACATACATATTTATCTGAGTTATAGAAAAGAATAAAACTGAGCTATGCTGAAGAGTGAGGGCCTCAAGTGAATCATTCACTGAAATGAAACATCTACTGTAGATGGGAGCTACTGAGCAAAATGTTCTTTTCCAACATATTCAAGTTGTCAAAATTAACAGTGTTTCATTTCCTGTTTATAACAAAGCAGTTGAGAGTTGGACAAATGGAATAAACTTTTTAAGTTACCTCCACACAGAAAGACTTCATGCAGCTGCTGCAGTTTTTCTTCTTCTGGCTGCTTTTACTTTAACACAGCTGCACTGTAATAGGTCCAGCTTACTACTGTCCAGGTGCTTTCAGAATAACAAAACCTCTATCACATTACAGAGCCCGAGAATTATGTTTGAGATAACACAGCTGCCTCGGCCCCCCAGTGAACATGTACAACATGTTGGTACAGAGGATCAGAACAGGGCATGGCAAAAAGAGATGAAAATTTCCCTTTCCTTCTGACTAACTTCATTTGTGAGCTTATGTAAAGCCTGGCTGCATTATCATATCTTAACACCTCAGGACTGTCCCAGTATTTACAGTTCTGAAGTATTTAGCTGTCTCTTCCAGAAAATACATTCTATTGGAAATTCAAGAAGAGGGGGGGAAAGAAAGTCTTTTAAAAATGGCTCCACGTATATGTCTATAGTAGTAGCATTTTTACATCAACAAATCTTTCCAGAGCCCTCGCTAAGCTGAAATCCAAGCCCTAGCAGCTACAGCTGATGGTGAAAGGCCAGACCACATGTAAGTATTGACATAAGCACAGTGGTGGAACATATTGCAGTAGGGGCTGAAAAAACTAATCCATGCATTAAAAGGAAGGAAGAGAGGAAGAATCTGCTTTAGATCTGAGTGCCTCCAGTAAGAGAACAGCATGCATGGCATACGCATATTGCACCTTCACCTCTGGAGAGCACATTCACCGTAGGGATCTCTTTCCATGCTATAATGGCTGTACAAACAGTAAGAAATTTTTGAGACAGATCAGTGACAAGGTAACAAGATGTTCCACGCTGGCTTCCGGCACACAGACAAAGTAGGTGTTGACAGCTGCACAAGAGTATGGCATTTGCAACTCCTGCTGATCCCATGGTGAAGCTCAGGGAAAGGATGCCTATTCAGATTTGGAAGGTTTCTGTAAACCACAAATGTATCTTATTATTTAACTTTAAGTTAAACATAATATTTCAGAATAAAATCTGAAAAGGCATTGCAACAGCCCAGTGCTATATTGTCAATACAGTGGTGTTCCCTCCTGGAAAGGAGGTTGCAGTTCCACGCCGATGCCTGTAACGTCTGTGGTCCATGAGGAAAGTTAAGTAAATAAATGCTAAATAATAAGCTGTTGAGCCAGGACCAACCATACATGGCCTAAGAAACACTGGGAGAGTGCTGTGTTTAAAACCCTATCCATCACAGCAGGGCTTTTGTTTTATTTCATTATAATTTTACATTTTACTCTCAAATAAGCCCAGCTCACGGGTCATGTTGTTTCTGCTTTGTTAGCAGAAGAGCTATTTTTAAATCACTCTGCACCTGGCAATAATGTATTGCAAATACAGAGTAGGTTTTGCTCCTCTGCAAAAGGATTTGCCAGATGGGCTTTCCTAATAAATTGTGTCTGATAAAAGGACGAGAAGGTTATTTAAACAAAAAGATTTTAGCTATGCCATTACATTTAAAATGGATTGAGGATTCTGCCAGTAGATAAATTAAGGGGGAACAGTGAATAGAGGCAGTATTCTTTGGCTGATGGCTCCTCTAGAAAGGAAGGCATGGGTGGCTGAAGCAAAAATAAGGCACACACGATTAATGATGTAAATAACAATATAAAAAGGGGGTCAGAGCAAAGATTAGCTCTCCCAGTTTCTAGTCACGGACAGAAGTGTTTCAAGCACATGTGCCACAATTCCTGCCTGTAGAACTTGCTGCTTCACTGCAGCCTCATGCCTCTGGTATCTGTTTGGGAAATTGCCGTGCCTTTCAAAGGAGGAACAAGGAATGGCCATGGTCTGGTACAGGCAGGTGCTCAGCACTTCCTCCTGGGACTTGCAGAGATGTGAGCGTGGCCCATGAGTCTAATTTGTTCTGACTGACCTAATCAGTGAGCTACAGCATGAGAGGCAGGAGGAGCAGCAGTGCTGTGTACCAGAGCTATTTCTACTTGTATTTAATAGAAAATTATCCTCCTAATTAATTATTTTTTTTTAGAAGGACCTTACATACTGATTGCAGGAAGGACTCCAGGCTGGGAGTCTGAACCTGGCAATCTGAAGTCATGAGTCAGGCACATGAATTGGTCTGGGTTGTGGCTTTCATGCCAAAGTTCTCACCTTCGACACCCTTTGAATTGATGGCCCAGGGATTTGGTTCTCAAATTCACTTTGTTTAATGTTGCTGTGTATCTTATGACCTACTACTTGTATCCTAAATCTGACTGAGCTTATACAGAGTCTTCGAGTTTTAGCTTGCCTGATCAAGCACTCAGTAAAATCTTTAACATCTTCATCCATTCCTCTGAATTCTTTCTGTTTCCTGGCTTCCATTCATCAGTTAATGTTTTCAAAAAGGCAGGAATTTCCATAAAAGCTATTGGATACAAGTTGCCCATGCTGTCCATCATTGCCTGGCTCTCTGCTTGGAACTGTCCAGCCAATTTGTGACTAAACATCATGTCCTCCAAGAGAAAGGGATGTGATTAAGGGAAACAAAGGTGCCATCCCTGGGTGCCATTAAAGGAATCTGCAGCTAGGAGTGGTGTGGTGGATAAATTGTATTGCATTAGGTGGATTATTTGTGGGACACCAATTTAAGAACCCTCTTGTCCACTGGGCTGGACATTGCAAAGCCAAACCAAAGCAAAACACTTTCACAGCATCCAGGGGGTTCTGGCAGTTTGAGACACAAGTTCCATGCAGGACTGGGCAGTCATGCAGCGTAGCTTTTGTTAGTTGATTTTTATTTGTGACTTCTGAATAGTTGATACTGATTCAAAATCATTGCAGTAAATCCCTTTGGACTGCACTGAAGTTATTCCATTACAGATGTGGTTATCACTGAAGGGCTGTGAAGTGTAACGCTCAGTATTACTGATGTGCATATCCAAAAGGCTTCATCAAGACACTGGCTCCATCAGACTAGCACCGTATGTGTATGTCAGAAACAGCAGACCCTTCCTTACATTAAACTGGTTCCCTTTCTAGAAATGCTTATTTAACACTGGAATATTTTGCAGGAATATTTGAAATCATATTTCCTGTAGTTATTTCTTTATTTACAGAACAATCTACTAGAATTTTACATCTTGCTGAATATTACATCTTAGTTCTTCTCTTTTTTGCTTTTCTTATTTTTATTACATTGATGAATTCAAGCAAAAAACATCTAGATCAGTCTGAGGTCAAGTTGTATTGAGTGAGAAGATTGGCAACAGCATGAGACTATGAGCTGTGATGTACAGTGGTATATTGCTCTGATAAATGATGACACTGAATTGTTTCTCATCGTGATTTAACATTGGAACCTTATTATGCTGCAAGCTTCAAGTTTCTATTTAGAAAAGAGTATGTCAGCAATAAAAGCAATGACTTTCACAGAGCAGCAAGACTATCACCTCATTAGAGCTTTGTAGAGAGGCTTTAATAATAGAGCTTCAGTTTATGGATAAAATCAGAAGCTGAGTCAGGAGATAGCTGAACATTAGAAAAAGGAATGCTGAATGATATATAAGCTCACAATGAATGAAAGAAAATTAAGATCGGAATAGTTGTATCAATTTTTTGTTAGTTTTTCTCCTGATTGTTTTCCATTTAATTCATAATTTAAGCACATGTGTAAATACATGTTTAATGTTTTGCTTTTATAACAAAGGATGGATTCAAAAGATCTTCCCAAATCTCAGCTTTGGGGAAGACAGCACAGGCAAGCATGGGTGGTTACTCTTGAAGAGAGATTTTAGAAGCTCCACTATGAATTAACTAGAAGTACATTATTTTTAAGCTTTGAAAATCAATGCTTAACTGTAAATTATTTCTATTTACAAGATGTAATTGTCAGGATTGGACATAAAGTGAAATGGAATTATACCAATAAGGAAAATTACTCTTTGACAGATAAAACTGTATGATTAACTAATACCATTATTGGATTTTTGGTCTTGCTTTTGTAATTTCCACACCAATTTATTTGATTTTCCATTTTTTAAAAGAGAGACAGAGTTCAATTCTTTAGTGTTTTGTCTGTAACTCACTTGTAACCAGGGGTGGCTGAATTGAAGGAGTTTAATACTTAGCTGCCCACCTGGATATACAAAATATTTAACATTGAAAATGGCATTGTGAGGGTCACATCAGTGTCTGTGTGACCAATTGGACATGATTTCAGCAAGAAGGACATGGGTAGACAGTACTAGTAAGTCATCCTGAGGGAGCAGTGGGAAAGCAGCTCTGAAGAAGCCATGGGTTTGGTTCTTTTCCAAAGGCCATAAATAACATTTGGATTGCACTGTGTTGTAATTACTTGCAATAATCTATTTTCCTATAGCAGAAAATGCCCTAGATGATAGGATTGTCAAGGCATCTCCAAGAATATGCTGCCATCGATTCACTGGCTGCTGGACTAAAAGACAGATTGGATTTTAGTGTATTCTGGTACTTATTTAAGTCAGTTTCATGTTACTTTTTCATGATGTTTATTAGCACGTTGTAATATTTTATGTCTTATCAAAACATTTACTTTCACGCATTAACAAACAGGACTTCCTCTCCTGCATTTCCCAGTGTGTTTTCTTTGTTTTGCAGGATCCTAAATATTTCAAGTCACAGAAGACTGGGAGAGGCCAGTTAAAAGAAGGCTGGAGAGAGACACATCAGCCCATCATGTGTTCCTACAAGCTTGTGACTGTGAAATTTGAAGTCTGGGGGCTTCAAACCAGAGTAGAGCAATTTGTACACAAGGTCAGTGAAACACAAGCTGTTTCTTATCCTTCACATAAGCAGAACTTGAGTACTGCCCTGCACAGGAATGTAACTATGACTGTGTAAAAGCTGGGGAGCTCAGCTGAATCTGCACTCAGAACTCTCTCCAGGGGCTGGAAGATCTGGAGCAGAGCCAGAGAGTTCTAAGGTTGAGAAAAACTATCAATATATTCAATACTGTAGTAAATGCATGAGCTGAAGCATTTGTGAATACATGTGAGTACATGTAGCAGCGATGTGCAGAATTTCTTACAAACAGGTAGTGGGAAAGTTTTCCAATCAATCTACTAAAAAAACTAATGGATGAATGGCATAACAGCCAAATGATAGTATTTGTCAGAGTATTAGAACTATTCTGTTTATCCACAGATAAATGTGTTTTATCCTTGTTTAAAAAACTAACAAGGAAAAAGGAAGAGTCCCAGAAGGTCTAATTGTCCAAAGATTAATAAATGCTGAACACATTCCCAAATGGTCTCCCATGCAGGTCACAGCCACACTGATGTGATCCAGTGTGGGCAATAGATCCACTTGAGGTGGGAGGTTGGGCCACAAGACCTTCAGAGGCAGTATGTCTGACTCTCTAGGACACGTCTCCTTAGACATAAAACTGACAGAATATTTTTCACTTTCAGTCATGTTGAAAGACAAGTGTTACTTCTCTAACACTTTTCTGTGTAGTTGCTGCAGAGGTATTTAACCTTTCCCTTGTTCCACAGGTCGTCAGAGATATACTATTGATTGGTCACCGGCAGGCATTTGCCTGGGTTGATGAGTGGTACGGTAAGTATGCTCCAAAACCAGCCCATTTAAAAGGCCTGATGCAAAGCTAATGTCAGCTCACAAAAGATTTCTGTTTACTTTCGTGGATCATCAGGTTCTAATATAAGTTGTTCGTGAAAGAGAGAGAACTATGTGCAGCTTCTGTGGAACACAGGGAGCTCATTCACAGCAGGTTTTTCTAACAAAAGTAGGCAGCATGGTAGGCAGGCAGCACACAGGGACACCATTACATCGCTCACCAGACAGACATCAGGCTCATCACCCTGCATTGGAGGCAGGTAGAAGCTGCCCCACCAAGAGTCATCTACATGGAGAACCGCATGCAGGTTGGAATAAAGCTTCTTATTAAGACTGCATTAACCTGCAGTCATTTCCATGCAGCAAGCTCCTGAGGCCTCTCATCCAACACAGTTTCAGCTTTTTAGGAAAGTTTTAACCTGTTAATGTGGATTGCAGTAAAGAAAAGATGGAGCTCAAAGTCCTTTCTGAAAAAGGGATATAAACATTGTGTAGCCTCCTGGGTCTGGTTCAGCAGCAGCTGCATGCAAAAACTGTGTTAAGTCCATGCCCCAGCTGTAGGAACAGGCCCTTCCAATAGTACAGAGTAATCTGAATATCAAAGAGCCAATTACTCTGCAGAAAATAAGCTCAAAGGGTTTGTACTTTTTCCATGTATTGTCAGTAAGATGTGTCCATAACCATAGATACTTGTAGAACCGTTTCTAAGATACTCTTGTAACATACTTTACAACTGGGGAATATATTTACAACACTTATTCAGACCCTCCTTAAGCTTCAGGAAACACCCTCATGGGCATTCCATGGGCTGGTGCAAACACACACATCTCCAGTGTATTCAGAAATCTGCACAGTTTTACATCAGAGTCTAGCAAGATATAAAGAAATGTTAATGGGAAGCAAAGAGTCATCTGTACTTTAGCAGAGTTACTGATGATAACAAGTGAGTAATCATGAAGTTAAACATATGGAACAGCTTTAGCCACAAAACCATTAACCACAGATTTTCCCATCTTAAATCTGAATGCACCCTGACAAAAATACTCTTTCCCCAAATGGAATGTTGTGATACACAATTATGTCACGGATTTCTGTAATGGTGAGTCTTTTTCCTAAATAATGTAGTGTACTTTTGGAACTTAATTGTCAGGCTAAGTGCAAAACCTAAAAAATCTGGTCTAACTAAAAAAAAAATGAATAAAGGCTTAAGAACATAGCAAGATTTATAATAGAAAGTGCAGGAAGTTAGTTTAAGTAACTCTGCTGTGTGCAGCCCTTCTGCCACTGCATTCCTCTGAAGTATAGCACTTGGTAAGACTTGCTGACTAGAAAGTGAGTATTTCATTATCCAAAATGAGTGAGATCCAAGTTGTATCCGCCCAGTTCAGTTTAACAGCTCTTGTGGTTTGTGTGCGTAGGGAGAGGTTTTAAAAACACAGAATTTTTAAAGCATCTGTATGTCATCAGTGTGTCTGTTATCAGCTTTTAAAAGAAAAGTTTGAGAAAGACTTAAAGATGATGATAGTCAGTAAAGCAGAATCGAATTATCGTGTCATAAAATCAGTTATTAAAGAAAATGTTATGTTATGGATATTACTGACTGATTACTGATACTGTAAGTATGAATGTGTCATGTCGTTACATTTACTAAACTGTACTTAGCTTTATTATTAAGAATATTTCTTTTCACAGCATTATTTACAAATGAAGAGCATGTTCTCTGCTTGGCAAAGTGCATGCTTAGCATGGCTCATGAGCTTGTTTTTCATTCCAGATAACAGTGAAAGACTAAAGGAGTAGGATTTTGAGTTATTCTATGTTTACTTTTTATCACAATTCTAGACTGCATTTCATTTTCACTGATGAAGTACTGCATTGCACTACTAATGTAACAGCTGAAGTTATATCTTTGCTTAAAAGCTGTCTCATAAAATGCAGCAAGAGCCTCATCTCACATAACAAGGAGTGGTGTGATACAAGAATTCACAAATCCAAGTGGCACATAATAAACTTGAGAAAAATTACAGCCTCAAGAACAAAACCACCATGTACATTACCAAAAGGGGAGCACATTTGCAAGTTTCTCATGCTAATAAAATGCCAGTTAGGCTTTGTGAGTAAAAAGTTGATGGCTATTTTCATGAAGCTCTGAAGTTATCAAACTGTTATAAAGAACAGAGCAAAATCCTTACAGCCTTCATGTTCACTTACACCTTACTCTCAGGTAGATTTATTGAAAGCATGGGAATACTCATCAGAGTAAGGTCCCAAGTCAATGAACTGGTTTCTTCATTGGTTTACTGGAAGTGTGGTTTATGATAAATCTTCTAAAACCTGTAATGCTTGCCTGGAGTTACATAGCAGGCACCTAACAGGTTATGTGCTACTTTGACAACACCAGGCATGCCTAGACAGTGATAAATGATCCTACCCCTAGAATCAGCCTGATTTGTAGAATATTTCTAATTCTTTTAGTTTATTCAATTGCTTGAGACTACAAAACTATTCACATATTCACTATTCATTCACTTACCTGCATAATTGTTAGTTTCTGGAATCTAAGCTGACATGTGCTCTAACTGTAAGAATGTTTGCTGGTTATGAGATGTACTATGCAAAAATAACAAAATCTTTCTGAAAGTGCCTGGAAAGGTAAGTAAATATTTACAATATTTCTGTCCCTATCCTTTATTCCAAGGGATCTTCTAAAATCTTTTTAGAAGATCTTGGCCTTTGCCAGGGCCTGCACATCAATACTTTCTGCCTACTTTGTGTTACACGGATACTCCTAAACAGTTTCCACTCCTTCCTGTTCTCTGACTCCCTTTGACTTAACCTTCTTATACCTTCCTTGGCTGATATAACTACCTTTATGAGTCAATTTTCATAAAGCTAGTTGCTCCATGCTCTTTTTTTTTAATCCGTTTTTGGCTTCTGCTCAAAGACTATTCCTAGAACCTTCTCCTTAAGAAAAAAAAATGAAGTTTGCACTGAATCAATGGAAAATGCCAACAATTTTGAACTTTTTACAGATATGACTATGGATGATGTTCGAGAATACGAGAAAAACATGCATGAAAAAACCAACATTAAAGTTTGCAACCAACATTCATCTACTGTGGATGAAATAGAGAGCCATGCCAAAGCAAGAGTATGTCCGTTTTTAAAACATATTGCACATCCTCAGCAAATACACCTGCACAGATCAGAGCAACCGTCTGATCTTGCTGACCAGTCAGTGGAATCTGGGGGAGGTTTTGCTTCAGTAGGAAGAGAATCTTTCTCCATGAAGTGGATTTCCAGGAAAACACAATGCTTAAATTTCCATTGGATGCACGAAGAGGAAGTTAAAGACAAGTTTTATTTTCTACTATTTGAATAGTTATAAAATGCAGGAGTTCAGATTGCTTCAGTCAAAAAGCCAGGAACATGGGGAGTGGAAAATTTCTATGGAACTGACAAAATGATTTGCTTTACTAGGGAAAAAAAAAGCTAATGAATTTTTTCTCTGTTGTCAAACTACTTTTAAAGTTGTCATTGATTAAGATCTTTTTCAGCAGTATGTAACAGCAGTTTGTGGAGAAGGGCCGGTTTCTATGTAGATTCTTTGATTCAGATTCTGGAAAATTCATTAAGTATTGAAATTCATAATTTGGGCACCTCAAGCAGCAGCCTAGAATCAGAAATTATTGCTATTACAAATAGAAAAAATAAGTGACATGAGTGATACTTGCTTTTGAAATGTTATTATTCCTTCATTTCTACTAACTGCACTGTAGAACTCACTGATGGTTTTACTCATGTTACAAGTGTGGGGCAAGGCCTGAAGGGCTTAAAGTCTTTCCTTTGTTTTTGCTCAGTAAAAATGCTCACCAGCTGGAGAAAATGTTGTCCAAGTGAAAACCAGAAGGTAATTTTTGTGTTTGAAATGCTGCAGCTCTGTGAACATCAAGTTAACTCCTTAGCTGAGCAGTAAATTGAGAATCGGTTCTGCCTTTGGCTCTACACTTCAGAATTTGGCGTTGAATGAAGTCTGACATTCATCCTTAGTTCCCATGTGGAAAAGGTGCCATTGAGGTCAGAACAGAGTTTGTCGTTAATGAAAAGAAAAAGAAAGTCTGAGCCTTCTTAGCTCATGGTAAAGTCTTGTTTTCCTTGACTGTATGTCAGAACAGAAGGGAATTTAAAGCAAGTATACTCTAAAAAGCAAATGTCAGCTGAAGGGACAGTATTTCATGTCTGAATTTACAGTGAACAGTCTTGCAGGCTGCCACTTAGCAAGACTTTAATCAGGCTTCACTTAAATGGCAGGTAGACTGAGAAATCTTCCTTACCTTGTTCATTTGTCCAAGACAATTTCAGACTGTACAGAAGTCCTGGATTGAAAACAGCTGAAATGAATGGATGGGCTCCCTTTGATGTGAGGGTGCTTTAAAACCCTTTGAGTTCAGAAACACTACACACATTGGTACAGGGTGTGAAACAAAATGTGTATCAGGCAAACAGGTTGAAGTCTATCTCCAACACAAGTAGGTACAGATACTCTTGAGACCATCTGTTTATTTCAACCGCTTACCTCAGATTTGAAAATAGCTTCATCCTCCCACCTAATAACTGGCAACGTAGGCTGGAAAGGTCCCTGGAATGTTGTCTGCAGGGAAGAGAGAAGGCAACTGGCAGTATGCGTGCTTTTATTGATTAGTATGATCTTATAATGCAACATAAAGCTGTTTCTATAGAACATTTGCAGCCAAGGCTACAGATGCATGCAACTGGCTAATATTAAAGTGTCGATGTATGGAAAGTATAGGATTTTGGCATATATATGTTAAGCACCATTGCCAGGCCTGTGGCTTAGAACTTTTAACTGATTGAAATGCTAATGGGGTTGTTTCTGGGTTTTGGAGCTTTCAGAGGTAAAAAAAAAAAAAAAAAAAAAAAAAACAAGAAAAAAAAATCTATAAAATGATTTAATGCAATACTTCAAATGTACAAATTTAATATGATGGTCAGTGAAAAACCTCAAATTAATTTCAGTTGGCTCAGTGGACACCTTGCAGGCAGGGTAGACGTGAAGCAGCAGGTTTCAGGTTTATACCAGATGTCATTCGTCTGGGATTTTCCCAAAGTTTTGCAGGGCTCAGCTCAGAGCCCATCCATGCTGGGAGCGCTCTGCCCTCTTGTGGGTTTCCACAGCACTGTGACACCTTTGTCACCTGCGTGACAGTTTGTTCCTGGAGTTTTCTCGGTATCAATGACAAGACTTCCTCTTGCAAAGTGGCTTTAACCTCATATCTCATCTTGCCTCTATCTTGCAGGGAGTTAAGCAGTGGATTTGTTAGTTGGCCATATATGTTTAAGTACAGGTTCTGGATGGAAAAGTTGGCAAGCATGTTTTGGCTTTATCAAGTGTGAGGGAATTATTTAGGTTTTGTTAGTAGAAAAGCAAACAAGCCTCAGCTATATGCATGCAGCTGGAAGTCAGTGGAAGCTGCGCATGGAGGGAGAGAGAAGTTTTCCTCCCTTGGGAAGTACAGCAGATGAACACCCCGATGACAACCCTTTACCCATTCATGCTCATCATTTAAATGAAAAGAACAAAACCCTGATCAGTTTTATTTTGTTGGAAGTTCTGAAAAATTCTACCTGCTGTGTATCTAAATGTGTTCTCTAACTGCCTGTGAAATAGCTTGAGTTTTCCAGCAATTACAGAGGTAGCAATCTTTATTCAGTTCAGACCCAGGTAGAAGGAGAGCCATTAGTATGTGATTAATGCACTTAACTTTGTTTCCTTTACATTTGCCACTGATTGTGCTCTGATCAATGTGTTACCATAGGAAGGCGTTCATGTGGAGAATCGTGTAATTATATGCATGATAAGCAGTCATTCCCTGATGACAATTTGGATGGCAGTAATTTAACTGAGTTAATGAAACAATCATTTGAGATTATTCTAATATGCCTTTGTTTTTCTTTCCTTCTTGTTGAAGACATGACAATGGATGAAGTCCGAGAGTTTGAACGAGCAACTCAGGAAGCCACCAACAAGAAGATTGGGATTTTCCCACCTGCAATATCTATCTCTAACACTTCCATGCCTTCTTCAACCCGCAGTGCTCCATCTAGTGCTCCATCAACTCCTCTCTCCACAGATGCTCCTGAATTCCTAACAGTTTCCAGAGAGCGGCCTCGGAAAAAGTCTGCTCCAGAAACACTCACTCTTCCAGACCCAGCGAAAAAGAACCTTTAAATTCACCTAGCATGTTTCCTTCTGATAAGCCATGTCTACCACAGCAAGAGTGATGTAACTCAGTTTCTACAAAGGTCATGGTGGTTTGTTGTTTCTTTTTTTTTGCTTAAAATAATCTTTCTGGTGTGGAAAGATTACTTCTTTCCTCAGACTTGATCCTTAAAACCTTCAGAGAAGTGCATGCACAAGAACGTAGTCTATATATTCCTAAAGTAGTGCTTCAAGCCATCTGGTGCATCGTCCTGACATACAGTGACATAGTCTGAGGGGAACGCTGTAAACTAAAAGAAATCTTTCTGTAGCAGTATTCTACCTGCAAATCCTCATCTAGGTCATAGCATTTACAATTAGGAGTAGATATTTAGTAAAGCTGCCAAGGACTTCTGTGGCAAATTAGTGCCAACTCGAATGCAGGGTTAACAGGAAAAAAAACCCTCCCATTTTCTTCTTTGATAGCTGATTTTAAAATCCTTCCTGCTCTCAGGCTTTGGTGTATTCATAAACCTTTGACCTGTAACTCATTGCACTTGAACACCAACACCAATCACTCAAGATTCACATTTTGCTTAATATGACTCAGGATTTGGGGCCTAGTTAACAAAGAAAATTTTTCAAACCTAAAATATCACCGTATTGAAGCCCCAATTGTAATTAATTATACTGACTTTGAGGCCATTGAACTATTTCTATCTTGCACATAATTTGTAAAAGAAACCACCTATTTCTTGTAGATAATGTATTTTAATAGCTCTCCCCTGTCCTTTTGTGATCTTTTAAACCCCTCTTGGCATTCATCAGTTGTGTTCCATGTGTAAGATTGCAAAAAAAGCAGCTAAATTGAGCCAGTTGAGAAGCAAACCCAATGAATTCTGTCTTTTCCTCACTGGAAGATAAGTGGTAGTTACGCTGTTAAGACCTTGAATGTAAAGGAAAGAAAACATGAGACTCCTTTTTCTTTTCTGCCTCCCATCTTTCCTAAACAGCCAACAGAAAGCTGTTCCCAGGCTTTGTCATCATCCAGGGGGAGGGGTGAACATCAGTCTTTGAAAAGCAAATGAGTTGTGGGGCTGCTCACTTCTGTGTAGGGTGACATTAAGGAAACAGAAGTACCCTTCCTGGTCTTCAAGTCTCAGGAATTAAAATGTAGAAAAGATGTTTCCAGTGGAGAAGACTGTGGAAAGAGGAGAAAAATAAATGGTCTCCTCCTAGGCTCAGTGAGAGACCTTCCTTTCTGGCCCCCATTTGGGGTACTTTGGTCCCTTTCATCCAAGTTGCTGTTTAATGAATGCTGCCAGTACCCATCATTCTGGTTAGCTGTAGCAGAAGTTAAGTAAGGCTCTGTTCAATTCCAGTGAATGACAGCCATTGCCTGAATCATACAATCAAAGTGGGTGATACTTTGTGCTACCAATGACATGGGACATGGGTTAGAAAAAAGAGAGTCCTCCAGAGCTGAACTATCACTGAGTGTTGGCTGGGGATGGCCTTTTACCCAGGCAGGACCTTTGTGCTGTTTTCTCAGCAGAAGGCAGTGATTTGACTGGCTTAAATGCACTGAACTTCTCAATGGCTGTCAATCTACAAAGTTATGTTGAGTGTGTGATATTTATAGCGTAGTTTTAGTAGCAGCAGAATTCCACTGCCAGCCTGCACTGACAAGTGTATATTTGTTTGATAGTTAAAATCCTATAGGTAGCAAAATCCGGGAGCCCTTCATAGGTTAGCTGTGGTCTGACTACCTGCATTCTCCCACTTACTGTCCATGTTCTGCTTCACTTCTCAGAGCTACTAATTCTGTGTGATTAGTAAACTAATGAGTGATGCTTTTTTTGCTTAAAAAGAAGCTGCTGTAATAATGCAAGCAAAACTTTCTTACATTAGTTTATGATTTCAGCTTCAAGAGTGTACAGATTATATATTCATGATTATAATTGGTCTAATCTCATTATTATTTATTTAGTAGCAAGATTGGAACATTGGCAGAGAAGGGAAACCTTTGAAAACATCAAGCATTGTTTGGTTGGGGTTTTATTTCCTGAATTTGACCTATATAGAAATACCTTAGGTCTGCTCCGCCGGAAAGTCTGGTTTTCAGTGATTTTTTTTCTTTGTCAAAGAAAGCCATAATGTCCCTGTGCTTAGAGATAAATGTTTCTATGTAAGTTTTGGCATTTGAGTTTTACAGAGATTATTAGACAAAAGCAGTCGTACCTTTACTCATATTTAACAGATTGATTTCCAACCCCTTGTGGATATATTGATTATCACATTAATTTGGTTTGGGGATAGGGCATGTATGAAAATTCTGAACATACCTGTATAGGACACATCTTAAGAGCTGTATGACACAGATGTAGGAGAACGACAGGATGCTCAGTGCTATGTCTCTGTGCTGCTGCTGCAGCCCTTCTTCCTGCAGCGCTGCTGTTGAGGAGACTTCACTGACCCAATAGCCTGAATTCACTGTTGGCCACCACGAGGATCACGATCAGCCACTTTGCCTCCTTTGGGCTTCCTAATGAAGGCAAATAAAAGGATCTATAATGTTCTGTTGCCCTGGATAAGAAACACTCCAGGCTTTTCACTGCCTGTGTAAGTACCCTCTGCTGTGTTCTGCTTTGCTTTCCTTGCCAGTCATGACCTGTTTGGTCCATAGGATCTTTAAATATCCTTTTCTGTTTGGTTGTTCTTTCTTTCTTTCTTAAGGTAGGACAACTTTTTCTAGAATATTCCCAGCAAACACTCAAACCCACACAAAACTAAGCAAAAAGAAAGGTCTGAATACTAAAGTGTTTATCTTCAGGCAAAGGGATGGTTTTCATTACTGATTTTTTCTGTTGTATTTTCAAGCATGTTTATTAGGAGAAAAATAGCATTTTGCAGGTGTTCATCACTTGTTTTGTGAAAGTAAATTATGTGATTATTTAGTGAGTCCATCCTTAGAGTATGGAGCTCTGGGGCAAAGCTGAATAGGCACAATAGCCTGTTCCTGTTCTCTACCACAGTGATGGAAGACTTACATGATGCAGCTCTGCTAGGGCTTGAGGGGAATTCAGGAGAATGCATTTTGGAGCAAATAACAAGATGAGTTTGTTTGAGTTTCTATTAAAACCTCCTCCCAGCTTTGTTTTTATGTATTTCATATGGAACAATCATTACAAAATAACTGACAATTCATTCCTGTCTTTAGAGGGGTAGATCCAAAAAAAGGGAGGTATCCATGAAGGCTATGAGGAGCAGCACATTCCTGAAGCACCTACTTATGAGGATTTCTTATGAATGTAATGGTTAATTTTGTAAATGCCTGGATAAACCCTAGGGAAAGAAACTATTTGACCTTATTCTTTAGCTTTTTTTATTATTCTGGAAGGTGATTTTGTGACCATCTAGTAGCCAGTTTGCAGTAATTGCTGCTGTAGAGATTTTGAAATGGAAATATTTGTTCCTTGAGTTTCAGTTTGTAACCAGACCGCTGTATTCTGTTAAAACTGCTTTGAAGCTTGCTGCACTGTAACTTTAAACCAACCTGCTGTCCTTTGAAACAAGGCAAATGTATATGCTTTTTATGAATTAGTGAGTGCAGTAAGAGAGAATTCATGATCTTGTCAATAGGAGCTTTTCTGTTTCTATTGTTTGGTCTTGGGTTTATATGTGTAACTTGAAATTGCTAAATAAGTCTAACAATGTTTTCTTTATAGGAACAGCATGGTCATTGAATTACAATCTCCAGTAGTTTTGTGCTGTCACTGAAACAGGTTTCATTGGTTTATTTCGTTTCTGTGATAATTCCACCTGAGATTCAATGTCTAGTAATGAATTTCTTTTATTTAGAGCTATGGTGGCTGCATTAGTCAATACATTGCCACAATCAAAGAAGGACCAAGTTTTGAAACGCTCTGCATGTTAAATAATGCAAGGCTCAGCAGGAGAATTTGATTGTCATATTTCTCACTCATATCATTTAGTTTCTGATTTTTCCAAGTTATTTATTATTTTTAATATTGTATTTTTTCCTTGCATTTTGTTGTAAATAAACTACCAACAGTTATTCTTTACAGTTGTGGCTATTTTCTTTCTTTAGGTCTCCTCTAGCAAGGAACATATCCAGTAACATTTCTACCCCCAGCTCTGCAAGTCAGTTCCTCAAAATCAAACAGCACAAAGAACTGGATTTGAAAGGAAAATTTAAACCACTTTAAGTAGGTTTTGTTGTGCCTCAGCTTTTTAAAGATGTTATCTGGCCAGGTGTCCTGTCACTGTGGTGTCACCCATTCATTTTTAAATGAACATTTGGCCGACCAGGAAGTTTTTCAGTAGGGAATCTATTTCTCTATGCAGGATTTGGCAGCCCAGTGTTGCCGTACATACTGGAACAGAGAACATTCAAAACCTCTCAGACTTGTAGACAAGTCATTTAATTTTAGTCAACAGCAATTTTGCATGTTCAAGGATTCTTCAAGCTGTTAATTAAAGGCTTACTCCATAGAAACGAAGCTTTCTCTGCACCAGAGGAACGGTACTCGCATATTCAGTACAGAAATGCTCCACAACAGTGTAGGGCCAGGCACAAGGAACAAATATGGGCACAGAAAGTGTTTTAAGGTAGAAACCAGTCAGTCCTCTGTGGCTTTGAGCCTGCAGTAACAGCTTCTCAGATGGCTTAAGTGCATGGAGACCCTTTTGAGGTGAGGGTGCAGGGCTCTGCCCTGTGGACATTGGACTCTGTCCAAGCCTTTGCCACCAATGAGAGGCTGTGACTGAATCCACGAGGAAAAACTGTGGCTGAATCCTCCACAAGACCCCAGAGTCACAGTGCTGGCAAGAGGTGTTCCCAGTAATGCATCTAATGGTGGGGCACAACCTGTTCCGTTGTTCTTTTGGTTTGACTTGATGTTTTTTACACTTCAGGCTTTTCTTGCTACAGCTTCATTAAAATTTGAGCACAAAGAAATATGAATGCATGAATATACATTACAAATTGGTTAAAAACCTGAACCTGCTGCTGTTAAAATTGGTGGAGTTGGGTTACACTGTTGCAGGGAGAAAAACGCCACCCTGTATTCTTTTCATACATGAGGCCTCTCATGGGGCAAGAATACACATAATTAGTCTCAAAACCACCAATGTTTTACTGTGTGGATGCAAACCTACAGAAGCCTTGCATCTGACGTCCTCATGCTAATCTGCCTATAAATGACACCTTTACACTGTAGGGAAATGGAAATGGCCATGCATAAAATGCCCTGGAAACAACTGAACAGTGGAAATCCAAACTGCTGTTGGGGGTGTTCTAAAATGAATGCCTCTTAATCAAACTGTGGCTGCCCCATCCCTGGCAGTGCTCAAGGCCAGGCTGGACGGGGCTTGGAGCAAGCTGCTCTAGTGGAAGGTGTCCCTGCCCGTGGCAGGGGTTGGAGCTGGATGAGCTTTAAGGTCCTTTCCAACCCAAGCCGTTCTGTGACTCTTATGATTTAACAAAAAAGCAATGAGACCGCACTGTGTCTGTACGTCCTTTGCAAATATCAGCTGGCAAAGCCTTCCTGCACCCTCAGAGTAAGCGGCACGACTGCCAGTCGCGATCTGGCCGAGCACGGCCGCACAACAGTGAACCAAGCCGCGACCCAAAGTTCTCCCGTCGCCGACGCCAACAGACCCTCACGCCGGCTCAGCATCCGGAAACCCCCGAACGGCCTCGTCCGTTTCCGCCACCACTCGCCACCTCGGGCAGCGGCGCATGCGCCACGCCATGTGTCGCGAGAGGTGGAGGCTCCCGAACATGGCGGCCTTATGCGAGAGCTTCACGCTGTGCGGTTTGGGTCCCGGCAGCGGTGTCGGCCTCGATGGCGGTCTCCTGGCGCTGGAGCCGGGCCCCGACCGCGACCACGTCCTGCTCACCGACCGCGGCAGGACGGCCACGCTGTTCAAGGTAACCGCCCGGCCCCGGCCGCTCGGGAGGTGTTGCTGCTGATGCCGCTGCCGGGCAGCCCCGGCCTGTTGGAGGGTCTCCGGGCTGGGCCTCGGAGCCGCTTTCTCTCCTGCCCCGGCCGGCCTGTCACTGGGCGCCCGCTCCCCGCTATCCCGCAGCCGAAGCAGCGGGGACTTGGTGCGCGGCTTCAGCTTGCGCCCTGGGGTCGGGGAGCGGGGCCGGGCCGGGCCCTGTCCCACTTCTGTCCATTTCTCCCTGCTATGCCCTGCTCAGCTCACCTCTGCTGTTCCCCGGCCTGTCCGCCAGTGGAGCAGGTGTCAGCCTGGGCTGTTGCTCGTGCATTTCTCCTTTTGCCGATTCTCTCTCTCGACTCCAAGAAATGCTCCCGTCCCGAAGCAGCAGGGTACGTGACGTTGTTCCCCAGTAGCCAGGGTAACATGCGTTTTGTCCGGCTGTCAGATTTCTGTCAGCCACCTTCCTGTTGGTCGGAGGATGAAAGGTTTTAGTTTGCAGTTTGAAACCAGAAGTATGCTCTGGTGTCTTTTAATATATGCATTTATTTCAGTAGACCATAATAACACTTAAACAAAACATTTGGCTTTCACATTCAGGTCACTAGGGACTGTATCTTAGTGGTTTCATGATACAGTCTCCTTATCGGTTGTTCAGTCCCACTGGCAAGACCATACTGAGAACATAAATAAGTTGGTAAACTTGCCCAGTGTGGCTGCAGGTGGAGGAGAGTGGATTGAGTACCCTCTAGCAGCAAGATGTAAGTCATATTTAACGTAAGTTTAGACAGTGAAATTCATTGCTCTTGGTCTTATATTGAAATTGGAAGAGGAAAAAGTGTGGTTCTGTGCTTGATTGTATTAGTGAGTAAAAGTGACTGACTTAAGTGATAAAGAGTAGTGTTTTCACTTTTCAAAAGCCGTGCCTCATACCTGTGTTTCATGGCATAAACCCATGTGACTGTTACAGCTCAAACGGATTTCTTATGTGAAAAGAAATAGTTCAAATTAATGTAGAGTTCTTTCATGTTCTTCTGAGATTTTTGGTATCAAAATCAAGAACAGGGATGCTCAAGCAGGTGTTCTGAGTATAGCAGTTCTGTGCTTTAATATGCTCGTTCAGTTCAGGTGTGGCTGCCTTGCATTTTCTTGCTGTTGTGAGGAGAATCCCCAGGGTGTACCACAATAAATTTTAATCATAGTGTCTTTGTTCTGACTCTGCCAGGTCTCTGATCAGAAGCCACTGGGCTGTTGGTCTGCTAAACACGGGCAGATTATCACCTGTCCAGTTGTATGCAACTCTGAGACTCATGAATATATAGCAGTTCATGATGACAAGGTGAGATCCTTATTATTTTCTAAAGGGGAAAAAGGATGGGGCTAGTCTTCTGTGGGAATGTAGATGGGGAGAAGTCAGGGATGCTGCATTTTTGGTTCAACGTAAATGCATGGAGCTCTTGCCACTCACTTGCAGTTCAGGTTCCCTCTTTTCTTTGAGGGGATGGGGTGGGCAGTTCTGCAGCTGCACAATATGTGTTGTGCAACATGAAGATCACCTC